CAGTGGTAGTTCTTGAAGCACATGAGAATTTTATGCATATAGCTGTTGAGGTTGTTTTCCCTCATGTTTATGAGTTTTCTGAGGAAGCCCAGTCTTTGATAACTGAGCTACAGAAGTTGGTTTAGTTGATTTTACTTTGCCTTTGTGTGGCCACTGTAAGTGCTCCTTCCCACTTGGCTTCTTCACTTAGCCTTTTGTAACCTATCATTCCTTCAAACTCCTTGCCAAGAGAAATGTTTAGGGCATACTTGTCATTGGACATGCAGCCTCTTTACCATCTCATTGTAGGTCTGTACAAGTGACCAGCCACAATTCTGCTCAGACACGTGCAGGTTTACATGGTGCAATAGTTTCTTTGTCAGTAAGGCTTTGTAAGTATCAGTTGTCTTTGCAAAGCAGTAAGCTTTCGGAAGCATGTGCTCACTAATGGAATGGTAAGCAGCTAAATGCTTCCAAAACATTGTACAAAGCAACCTCCTTTGGGATTTGCAGTCTGCATTCTACAATGTTACTCAATAGGGTGTTTTCCTCCCTTAGGTATTTAGTATTGTGTGCTGCTTTGCTCAAGCACAGTCTCTTGGAACTCAGTGCAAAAACATCTCCAGCTCAGTGAATGTAAAGAACAAGTGATCAAGTGGTGGATATTATTCCCTACACAGTGGTTTAAAAGTTATCTTTGCTAGATTGTTGTTAATTGTCATATATGTATGAATTTGCAAATGTTGCTTCTGGAGCCGGTGATAGAGTGTTACATACCTGCTCCTAATAACTGATGGCATTTGAAGATGAGAATATAATCTTGATGGAATCTTCATGGAATGAAAATTCACTTGAAACAGTAACTGTATTTTACTATCAGCCCATTATGTTACACCAATTAAGTATGTACCTGGTAAATGAGAAAATAAGTGCGGCATATCCAAACTGTTGCACATGGAAAATTTTGAAATTGACAATGTTTAATGTAGTGTGAATATAAATTTTGTTCTTAATGTCCATTTGGAGTGGGAAACCATATAGAATAATCTTTGGACTGAGTTTGTACATAGTGAAGAGCATTTAGTTATCTGAATGAAGGTATGTGAAGAGCATTCGCAGACTTTTTATTTGTGCCAGTAGACATTGCACTCTAAATCACTGTTATACCAGTGATTTGTCATCTGTAAATAAACTGGCAAATGCACTGCTCAGCTTCAAATTTCCTTCACTGCTAATACCACTTGAAATCAGTGGTTCCTGTTTCAGTATTGCTTGTTCTTTGACATAAATCAAAGAAAAATCCTCACAGAAAAGCCATCAGAAACATAATTTAATTTGTATTAGGATGACAAAAACACTTCTCCTGTGTCTCGCCGCGTCCAATTTCTATTTTTGTAATAGAAAGATATTTTATAGAGAGTTAAATTGGAAAAAATCTGCTGCTTACCTAAAGGTTGTGTAGTGGATCAAAATACCCATCATAACAAGTAGAAAAAGCTGCTGAGAAACATAATTTCTCAGGAATTGCAAGGGCAGTCCTGTGAACATGAAGGGGGCTCTTGTCTTCCTTGAAAACTTCCTCAACAGAGATACATTTCTAAGGAGTCCACAAACAACTAGTGTTTCTCAAATTTTCTTATTGTACCAGGAATTACTTTTTTGGAGATCGGGACATTAGTTTCAAATAACTTAAAAATTTGTTTACATTTAAAATATTTCTAGTGTGTTGTGCAGTTCTAGAGCTTGCTGCCCTGAGAGTTTAGGTAGGATGTTGACAGGCTCAAATAGACAAATTCTTAAGCAACAAATTTGATGCCTGAACTGACTCTGGAAATAGTGAGTAGAAAAAGTTTTGTTGTTCTCCAGCTGGCAATTTTAGAATACAAAGGAAGTTGAAGAGCACTGGGTAAATTAAGGAGTGCTGTCTTCTTTAGGGAGAAAAATTTGCTGTCAGATTAGTTTGTTATTATAAATGAATGAGTATACAAAGGCCATGACTTGATGGCACTTCTGTGAAATCATTGATATTGGATACTAGGAATTCCTCCTCTGGATTTTTTTTTTTTTTTTTAATATGAACACAGCTGCTTTTAATGTTAATTCTGCACACATAGAAACCATGCTTTACATTCCCCGTGTTCATAGTTTAAATCCATAAGTACATTGATCCTGGAGATCTTCATTAAAAATTGAATTTCCTGCTTTACTGTGCTGGGGATTTTTTGGTTATTAGTGATGAAAGAATGTTGACAACTCTTTGCATGTATTGTTTAATATTAAGAGCTCCAGTACCAAAAGAGGGCCCGTGCAGGTGTAACAAAACAGGATGTGTCTGGCAAAATTAACAGGAACAACAGATTCAATGCTAATACTTGTAAGAGAGTAAACCTGAATATATAATAACTAGTGTGCTTTTAATTATTTTTTTCTCATAACAAGAAGGATGACAGTAGTGGACTCAGCAGTGCAGTGTGGATATGGAACCTCTTCTGTGGGCTCTTGGTGGGGACAGTGCTGCAAGTTCTTTCTTAGTGATATGAAGCTGCAAGATGACATGGAGACTATGCTAGAGTTATTGGCTGGTTGATGTTTCTGCCTTTATGAATGGAAATATAATGCTGGGTCTCTTTTGCCCCCACCTATTGAAAGATAAAGCATTGATGCAACTGCCTGGGAAATCTTCCAGATCTGAGAGGTTCATAGGAATTTAGAGTTGCAAAGAAAGGTGGCAGAACTATAGCTTTAGGAGCAGTTGCAGTTCTTTTCAAATGATAAATTGAGCATAGTAGTGTATGCATGCAAAATTGCCCCTTATATTCATTTGTAAATCAGGCTATTCATCAGAATATGAGTATATGGGTTTTACATTACAAGGACATTTCAAGCCTATACATACAAACCTGGAAAGTGTAAAGTCTGTAAGCTATTCCATCCTATTCCAGGCAAAATACTAATTGGATTAACTGTATGTAACATTCTCGTTTCCCAGGAGGAACTCTGGGATTTGGCCATGATAAATTAAACCTCAATGCTAACTCTTAATTTTGAGCATCTTCCTCTCTCTGCTTTTACCTGCTGATTTTAAGTTTCTCTTTTGGAACTACTTTAATTGACAAGGTTAGTTTTGAGTGCTGGGCTTTTCAGCTTTCCATCTTTGGGGGGGGGGGGGGGGGGGGGTGTTTTGTTTTTCCTGGATACATTTCAGCATCTATTGCTAAGTATAAAAGAAGTAGGCTGCTCTGTGCAAAGTACCTAGATATCTATCAAGTACCCATTTTCAAGACTGATTCAGACTCTTGCAACTTGTGGGATTGCAGAGCTCTGCACTTTTTATTTCTGTCCTTTTTACTGATTTGCACACTGCTTTTCTGACTTGTGACAAATTCAGGGATGTGCAGGTACTTGCAGAAAGCTTTCTAATCTTTCTGGTTTCTCTGTAACGGGCCCAGTGTCTTTACCTGTTCACACATGCCTGCATACCAAAAGGAAAAAAAAAGTCCAGTTTCTTTGTGCTGTAAGTAAAACTAAAAAAGTTGAATCCATTTAAAAATCTGTAAGTCTTGTTCAACTTCAGGTTTTTGCAGTTGGAGCAAATGGGGGCGGGCGATAATTGGTAGAACTGTACAGTTATGTAACTAAAAGCTTTTCTGCTGCAAGTTAGGAGAGCAGATTGCCTGGCCATCAAATTGCGACACGTGTTTTTAATCTTCCCACAGTGTCCATGCAGAGGAGTACAGTCAAGAAGTGTGTATTGGTTTGGTAGATTAATGTGTTCAAATAAAGATGTTACCAAAAACTTTCCTTCGGAGTACAAACATTTTTTTTAGAGAAACAGTGGTGGTGTCGTACCACTTGGAAATTTAAATAGTATTTATTTTACATAATTAATGGCAGATATTATTCTTAGGTTGAAATTGTAAACGTTGATGGCTTTTAGTATGAAAGTTATCATCTAAAACTCCCAGTGGGGAATCAACTGGTAAAAAGATTATACAGTGTATCACAGTGGTGATAAGATGAAATATGCTATTTTATGGGTAAAATATCATGTTACTATCACAGAAAAATGGTCAGCTAGTCAGGAATCATGAATTGTCACCAATTTCACATAAATATTCATGAAAGCGGTGACTGAGATATCAGTGGGTTTTTTCTGTACCCAAAGGGAGTGGGTGGTTGGATGGGGGTTCTTTCTGGCTTTTGTATTTAGTTTTTTTGATGGAATGACACTATATGGATCTTAGTGTATACATTCAGGGAAAAGTGATACAAATATAAAACTATAATGTGAACTTGACTGAGATGAAAGACAGTAGCCTATGAACACTTTGCACTGGGAGTTTGTTGTATTTGGTGCTGCAGCTGTGGTATGTAGTCCTTTTGTGTCTATATGGAGTTGTGACTTCAGCTTCTCCAAGGCATGCTGACAAACGTGAGGTTTGCTTACCTGCAGCGGATCCAACAGCATTACCTGAAAGAGAGCATCTGAATTTTACTTAAGGTGGCTGCTGCTGCATGATAAGGCCTATCCTGGACCCTTGGTTTTCTTCAGTTACTTCAAAAATCACCCTTAGAGTGTGAAAATCAGAGGGTTTTTTTGGGGTTGGTTTTTTTTTAGGTCACTGAAGGACCAGTTTAAACAGTACCAGTCAGAGCTATTAACATCACCTTGGTTAAGGATCATTGCCATAAAAGCTCCAGGCTTGACCCTAAATGGGATGTGTGGGGGGGAAGTTATCTTTTGAGTAGAAGAAACAATGCAGGTTTTGACACTGCATGCTTAGACATCCATGGGTTCTCCAAAAGCATTGCCTGCCTTCCTGCAGATGCTTGGAATCACCCACCAGGGAGTTTGAAGTTTCACAAGAGAGCAGAACCAAACTCTTCCCCTGAAGGCACAGACTGTTAAACTGTTTAACTAGTGAACGATGCACAAAATTGTCATAACACGTCTTTGGATTGTGTGTACCTAAGATGATTTTTGCATGGTGAATCTAAATATTGCTCCTCTTCTGTTCTAGTTTGTGGAGACATCCATGGTCAGTTCTTTGACTTGATGAAACTGTTTGAAGTGGGAGGTTCTCCTGCCAACACGCGGTACCTCTTCCTGGGGGACTACGTGGACAGAGGGTACTTCAGCATTGAAGTAAGTTTCTAATTTCTGGATTTGGGTGCAAAACTGCTTGCAGCCTGTTTTGTATATTTACCATCATATCTTAACTAGCTCAGGAATATGAGGCTCTTCACAAATGCCATGTTGGTGGTTGCTGGTGGTGTTTTTATAAATGTTGCTTGGAATGCAGCCAAATCCCACTATATCTGTGCTGGAAAGCTGACACAGAATGGTGCTAACTAGTGGCCATCTAAATATTGCACAGAAAGCAGTGTGCTCTGCAGCTTGCAAAAGCTAAATAGCCTGAGTAGATGAGAGCTATTAGAAAAGAGACGTAACAGAAAAAACTTAACCTGCGACCCATAGTTTAGTTTGACTTTTTGGCTTATTTGATCTGAGTTTCCTGGATGTGAAATTTTAGGAGAATGGAAGGACTAGATGAGAGGTAGATGGGACAAAAAGCCAGCATGCAGCATGCTGTGCTGGAGAGAATGAATAAGTTCTGTTTAGATATGGCATGCAGGAGAGCATGATCTCTGGATTTTATGCAGCACTTGAATCCACAGAGAAGTGATGCACAGGTGCCCTGTTGGTGGTGCTGAGACCTGGCATAGTCTCCAGGTGAGGCCATAGAATGTGGAGGTCAAATGGCCTCTTTAGCTGGCTTGTGAAAGAAACAGTGTCCTATCCAACCTGCCAGCTTTGACTAGAAGTGAGTCAAATACCAAACCCAAGTTCTCTGTTCCAGTGCTTGTAAAGCAAACTAGATGTTTTCTTCTATCCTGTGTTATTGCTTGATTTTACAAACTGACAGGATGAAGTGCACAACTACTGGATAAAACCTGATGTGTATTTTTTTGTCTAGGTTATAGCTGATCTAGTCATTGAGGTCATCTAGTCATTGAAGTCATCTAGTCAATCAGAAATCCTTGCTGAACTCTTGATCTTTTCTGTGAAAAGTTCAGACTTGAATTCCCTCTGAGTCAGGGCAGAATGCCCATTACCTGTTGGAAGCAATATAGATCCTATGATACATGTCTGTGTGTCTGTGACTAGATAAGATGGCATCATGTGAGAACACATCCACTGCTGTTTCATTCTACATCCCACATCCAAGTATACTGTTGCCATATTGGTATACAAGTATATAAGACCAAGCACACCTGAGTTATGTGTTTGGAAAACAGATCAGTGTATTATCTTGCCAGTGTTATGTTTAAAGTAAGAAGTTTCTGAAAAACTAGATTCAAGAAAACTACTTTTCCTTTATTAGTTCATTTTAAAACTTCATTTCAAGTGAGCTGGTAATCACTGCTGTGGGTTGCCATGCTGGATTGCTTGGGGAGGGTTGGGAAGGAGGAGCAGGAAGAGCTGCACAGACTTAAACCATTGTGCAGCTCGGTCTTGAACTACCATTTTTGAATTGTGATAACCTCATTCATATCTCCTGCAGTCTTTGATTGAGACAAGATGTGTCTGGAAGAGGAAAGTTTTGTCTTCACTTCTATATACATAGGCTTTTAATAAAAGAAATAGAACAGCTTTCAAGTGCTTCTCTGACAGTTTACCAAAATGTGTTCCAGTGCTATTGCCAATTAAAGAAATAGCAAGCCATATGAAACAAAGACAACAGCCTATGTATAGGCAATAATCCCCTTAAAATCTCTCATTTAGCAACCTGTGCATACATACTTAGCAAATTGTATTCTGAATGCAGTTTTTCCATTCAGGAACATTGCTTTTTCACTGGAAGCATTATTGGCTTCTGCCAGCACCAAGGAAATATCTCAGCTGTCACTTATATTATTTCTTTTCTATGTTAGGTTCTCAAATCACTACTGGTTTTTTTGGTCACATAACTGATTTTCCCCACCTGTCACCTTGATTAAAGATTATCTTTGAAAGGAAGGGCAAGTTTCTGTTTCATAAGTGTATTTAGATGTAGAGCTGTGCATTCAGGCATGAACTCAGCACAATAAGTAGTGACAAGGAAAGGAAAATTGTGAAAAATGCAACTTGGCATTTAGAGGGGGAAGATATTTCTGGTGGAGAAGGGGACCTAAGTACATAGATCAGGCACCAACTCTTGTCAGTACTCTGTGCTGGAGAAGTCATGCTGGTAAACAGCCCCAGCCTCGGTTCATATTTCTGCCATGCCAATCACATAGTGATCTTTCTTCCATCCATCTGCTGGCTTCCCTTTCTGCTATGGAGACAGGAGAGTATTGCAGTTCTGGGGTCTTTCCAAAAGAATTAAGTGGCTGGTCCAAGGTACTAATCATGAGTAATACATGTTTTTAAAGCATTCCCCTTGATTGCTGTGTGATCTCTAGTGTAAAAGTGACACCATTGAGCTTAGACCGAGCTGAGTTCTGATAGTGGGCGAGATAATCCTTCTCTGTGGGCTGCAAAGCATTTGGGATTCTTCTGGATGAAAGGTACTACATAATGCAAGCTATTATCATTAAGAACAGAGAAAGAAATTGCATAAGGTAGGTGGAAGGCACTTGATAATTCAGAGGGAAAAAGAGAAAAGTATTTGTATAAGGCACTCAGCAGAAATGTCAGTCCTTGCTCTATGGAGCTTTTGATCCAAGGGCTCAGTTCTTCATGTGCATGCTCCATTTTTATTGGTGTGAGCTTCACTGCTTGAAGGGGGGGTGTGTTTGGTGTTTTTTATATTAGCTCTAAGCAACGAGTCAAAGGATGAGAGACTGATAGAGAAGTTCCAACAGGTAAAGTTAAAAAATGTCAAGTCGTGAGTAGAATGAGACAAGGTTTCTTGGCACAGACGGAATCTTTATTCCATATCTGTGTTCTCTTTTCCATTTGACCTTTTGGCAGAACCTGGGCATTTCTTCACTTAAAAGAACAAATTTCAGCAATTTAATACAGTGCATTTGTTTCCTTGGCTGTATAACTGATAACATTTCCCTCTTGTGCTTGTGCACTGTTCGAGGGGTTTGACTCCAGAGTAGAAGAAACCCCTTAGTCTTCACTTTCAAATAAGTTTTATGGTCATGGAGAGTAGAAACCCAAATAATCAAAACAGAGGGCTATTTTTAAATGTAAAGAATAGTTAGAGCCTAAGTGGTTCTGCAGGAATAGGTTGTAAGGGAGAATGACTAATCTCTCTACCCGAGTCTGAAAACTCTTTTTTGAAAAGCAGACAAGTGCTGTCCAGTGTAGGGAGGAGTGTACATATAGACTATTTTTCATCACAGTCTTAGGAAAATTACAAAGTAAAAACCAACTACAGTGCATTAATAATAATATGTAAACCAACTGTTGAATTATTTTCTTGCTCAATTCCATATACAGTCTTATATGTCGCTTGACCATCATAAGGTATGTAGTGATCATTTTTGGCAGAGGAAAAAGTTAAAAAATGGAGAATTGAACCAGTGTTCAAAACTAACAAAAGTGGAGTTATGTCTTAAGGTTCAGAACATGCATACATTTCCCTTCCTGAGTGCACAGACTGACATTGCAGAAGGTGAAACTGGTGTTGTGGTATTTCCAGCAAGAGCAAAGTGAGGTGTTTGGAGTGAGTCTGGAATTTGACTGCTGGACCTAATGCCAATTTAAAAAAAGCATCTGGCACTTGAGATGCTTCTGAACTCGGTGAACTCTTAGAAATTAAATGGTCTCTCCTAAGAAAAGAATAACACATAAATAAATTTATGTCAGTAAACAGTGGGTGAAGTTACTGCTGGTGAAGTTGTGTGTTTATTATCTCTCAGGTCTCTGAACTTTCCAATTCTTCATTGGAAGAATAAACACCTTTCAGCATCGTCTGTTGCTGTAGTGTATGAATGTTTTCCAGTAAGGAGCTTGATTTAAAATAATTTGGGCTGATCAGGAATACTTCAGCAGTGAAGTTAATAGTTTCTTTCAGTTCTCTTAAAGCAAAGAAAATCCTCGGACTTTAATTATCCTGAATTTCCTTGACTTTTTCTTCTGTAGACCAGTAGCAAATATCTTTCTTCATAGCAACAATTTGCATCTTGTGAGATCTCGTTTCTGTATGGCATTGCTCCTCAGAGCTGTGAAAATTCAGCAAATTCAGAGCATTTTTATATGTATTAGATTCCCAGATTGTAACATCTGTTTGTGTCAGGGCTGTCCTTGCAGCTTGACTGGTCCTGTGCCAGCTGTTCCCAGTGTGATTCCCCAGCATCCAAGAACCCCTTTTGGCTGCAGGGGGAGAACATGTAATGGCACCATTTCCCCTGCACTGATGCCATCTCTCTGTGGGACCCATCTTCTTAGAGAACAGCTGGGGCCTAGACACAGGATACCAAAAAGGAGAGTTAGGAGCCATCTCTGTCTAGAAAGTACTAGCTATAAGAATTATAGGAACATTTACAAAAAAGAGTTTCCTAGTCAGTTTTTGGTTGAAAAAGAGGTACTTCTTTTTGGCTATTTTTTTAACTTTTCAGATACTCTTTTTAAAGGCTGAAATGGGAGTAATGTGGTCTAAACATTAGCAAACAGTATATTGCGATTGTGCTGAAATCCTACCTGTAGTGAAGACAATATGGCTTTTTCTTTATTTGCAGTAGTATTCATAATCTTCTTTGTGCTCAAGGGATAGTAGTTCAGAAATGGCAGTAAGTTGCATCTCATGTGAGTATTCTGGTTACAGCTGCAATTTATCTTTATTTGTCTCTGAAATCATGCTGTAATAAAGACTCATCCCAGTAGTGTGAATGCAGCTATGTGTGTAAAAGGTACACGGTTTCCATTGGGATGGTTACTCCATTCTAGGAAGCTGTATCTGTACTAGATGTTGTGATGATGTCATTATTTCAGTGCACCTACAGTAACGCAATTTTCATATTTTAGTGAAGTGTGTGTTAGAGAGTGTGGGAGCTATGCCAGTTCCACAGGTCGCAGAGCATCAGTAGAGACCTTAGCAATGTGTGGCTCAAATTATCCTTTCAAGTACGAATTACTTCACACTCACTCACACTTTATTTCATCTACTGAGGTGTGCGCAGTGCTGTCAGTCATTTGGAGGAGGAGTTCATCGTTTGTGGCCCCTGCAAAGCCACACAACTGGCAGTGAGCTGCATCTCTCTCTTCCTGGCACTACCACTGCCAGAGCACCAAGAAGTGAGCATTGTGATGCTGTGGTTGTACTCAAGTGGCCATGGTGATGATTTTTCAAGGTTCCTTGTTTTAATCACATAACTTGAGATGTGATTAAAGAGCTGTGAGACCTTTGGTTTTCCTTTCCAGGATGGGCTGAGATGTGGAATTGTGCAAATGCTCCAATTCAGAATGCAACAGTGGAGTTAAATCCCAAGTCTGTTTTGAAAATGTGGGCCTTTGGCTTACACAGTGCTTAATTGCACAGACCTTTTCTTTCCTGAAGCTGAGGCTGCCAGAACCTCAGCAGGAAAACAGCTTGACGGAAAACAGCTTGACTATGGGAGCTGGGAGGTAAACAGATTACCTCTTTGTTACAAACTTAACATATCTGCTATTTCAACAGCTGAAAGACACTAAACAAGAGGGGTTTGAGGGTCTAAGTCTTAGATACATACATACATACGTACATATATACACACACACACACACACATATATATATGTAATATGGGTCTTTGGATAGTTTGAAATGAAATAGGCAAAAATACCTTACAGATGTCTAGATTGTAAGGTCCCAGCTGGACATTTTGCAGAGAGTTACAGCAGAGCTGATGTTGAGAATGTTCTTGATGACAATGTTGAAGGAAGAAAGGTATTTAAAAATTTGACAACAGGGAAGCAGTATTATGAAATACTTAAAGACTTTAAGCTCAGATTTTCAACAAGGACAATTTATCATAAATATTTTGTTTTCAGTAAGAATTATGATATGCGAAGCACAGGCAGGAAAAAATCAAAACCAGAATGTTTGCTCATGATTTGTTGTTTACACATAATGTTTTTTGTATATAAATGACACTAAGTTGAAAAGCCATGAAAATCATTGCCCTCATATTTGCTCTTTAGTTTGCATGAAAAAAAAATATCTTCTAATTAGTTCTTATTTCCTATTACAACATTTCTTCACTGAACTACTGAAAAATAAAAGGGAGAAAATTAAAGAAATCATCTAAACAAAATAAACCTTTGATATAGTACTGCTGAAAACAACACAAAATATGAATAGTGGGCTTAGGTTGCTTGAATAGTGGCAGAGAAATAGAACTTTCTAGACTGTATTGATTCTCTGTTATTTTCTGTCTGCTTCTTATGAGTACTTCAAAGGAAGCATAGAAAAAAAAGAAAAAATAAATCTATGATAAGCAAATATAGAGCAATCAACTTGTAAACAAGTACCTAATGCCAAAAAGTCAAAAATTCCATCTCTACTTATTTTCCCTGCTTTCCAGATCCGGACAATATTTTAAATATGGAGTGCTTGCTTTAATCTTGCCAGAGCTTTAGGAAAATGAAAAACTTAGTTACGAGGGCAATGTTTTGGCAGGATAAGAAGCTCTAAGGTAACTTGCCTGGAGCTTTCCTTGTGTGCATGGGGGTGTCACTTTAGACTTCTTGTCCCACAACATTTACATCAAATTTTTGCATGTGTCAGTAAGTTTGAAGTGGAATGTTCTGGAAATTTTTGGAGGAATGATGAAGTCATCATCAAAGAGAGAGAAAATTGCTCTGGTGGTGTGGACAAGTTCAGGTTTCTTGCCCCCTGAAATGAAACCATCAAACCGAGGTCTGCTGGAGTTTACACAGAGGCAGAAGACTTTCTCCACCCACACCCTTTGGTTGTTTTGGACCACAACAGATGACTCCTGTGACCTGACACCACAATTCTATGCTGGATTACATTAGCATGATTTCCCTGGCATTTCTGGCATCTATTCTTGCTTCCTGCAGTGGCAGTAGCGCCAGATAGGTGGAAGAATTGGCATGAGCTGGGAGGCCTCCCGTGTGTTTCCAAGAGGGGGAATTAGTTTTACAATTCCTTGAGTATACTGCCTGTATTTTTTGCTGTTTTTCTCTGTCTGTACACCCTCTGAGTCTGTAATTTCTGTTCTTCTTCTGAGTAGAAGAACAGAAATTACAGACAAAGGACAGGCAGAGCATTCAGATGTTTACATGTAATAAATTCAAGGCAACGAGTAGTAGTATAAAACTCCTGCTGCTGTGTGATTATCTATGGATAGTGTGAGCACAAACATTAAAATGTTGAATCCCTTCATCTTTTCCTGTGTTTCTTCTAAGTTGACTAAGTAGCAAACAAGGGATCTGAAATCTACATGTTGAGATGATTAAATTTATTATTCAGCTGTTTTTCAAGACACTCTGAATTGTAGAAGGGAGTTCACACTATAATGTAGAGGCATTGCATTGACAGCAATGCTATTGTTCTAATCTGAAACCATAGAGTACATTCTGAATTTCCAATTTATTGAATATTAAGTTAAATGAAAGGAATTTTTTTCCCCCAATGGAACAAAGGGGAGTGTTGGGAAGTAGTTGAGAATGAAAGTGGGGTTTTTTGACACCTTTTGTTTCTTGTGCAGCATTTCAGCAGTTCTTGGTTATATAAGAAAGGCTGGAGGAAAAACCATTCAGACAGTTTTTCTAGCTTTCTAGTTTTTGAGAGGACATTGTGGTCTGTAAAGTGCCCCTGCAGGCAGTGGGCTCATCTCATGGGATGAGTGGGTCTCATTTCCATCAACTTTCTTGGAGCTGTGAGTTCATTTTCAAAACAAATATTTTTAATTGGGTGATTTAGAGAGGTCTGAGCAGAGCTTAGCCTCTCCAAGTTTGTTTTTTTTTTTTTTATCTTTAAAAACACATCTAGAAGAAATGTCATCTCAAATAGAAATCTTTGGGAAAGAGAAGAGGCATTGTAAAAGCTTAGTAGTAACTTCATTTAATGTAAGAGCTTTGTGGATCTTTTTACCGCAGTTATATGTAGGGAACAACACTAAGTGAAAAATGAACAAGCTCTCATTTAAAAACTGTAATTCTGGAAGCTGAGGTATTTCCTGAAGTGTGAGTTAAATTGTTCTGAGGCAAATTTTCCTTAAGCCAGGAAATGCAGGTCTTCCGGTGGAATTGTTTCCACGGGAGGTTTCTGCCTAACCTTGCAGGTGGAGAGTGTGCACTTCCTTCTGGGATGCACAGCGAGAGCTGGGGCTGCTGGGGGCAGCCTGGCACGGCTGACCAGGGAGGGGCCACTCAGCAGGAAGTGTGAAACTCTGACAGAATGTACCCACTCGAGTTTCAGCCAGCATAGGCTGAAGTGCAGAGAAGTGTTTGAGTGTAGCATATGAAGAATGAAGTTAATCAGTTGAAAATAAATGCTTTGCACAGATTTTGCTGTGCACTTTTACTTTCTCTGCAAGTTTTTTGTGATGGAAGGGAATGTAAATTGTTCCGTCATTAATTATGAATTCTAATTTTCTTTCTTCTTCTGATTCACAGTGTGTGCTGTACTTGTGGGCCTTGAAAATCCTTTACCCCAAAACACTGTTTTTACTTCGTGGGAACCATGAATGTAGACATTTAACAGAGTATTTCACATTTAAGCAAGAATGTAAGTCTATCTTACCTTTCACTTCTTAACTCCTTTTTCAGCAACTTAATTTGTTATTTTGCAGATATTTTATATTGGTTCACTATTAGTAAATTTTTATGTTAAATGCCATTAATTTTAAATGGTAGTCCCTGTTCCCTGAGGGGGCAGTGACCTCTCAGTGGTGTGGAATGGAAGGGCTTAGACCCCCCCATATTTGAGTATGGGAGCATCCTGGGGCTGCTGTGGGTCCATCTGGCTGGGATGCTCTCGGTGAGCGTGCTCTGCTGCTGATGCTCCTGGCAGCAGCCAAGGGTTTGCTGCCCCACACAGCAGCCTGGCAGGCAAAACCTGCTGGCACAACAGCCCTGGCACCTGTGACAGGTTCCTGACTGCTAGTTAAGGAGGACTTCATCTGACTGGGTCCCATCTCATGGAGCAGGAGAAAAATGCAAGGAATTTTTATTTTATTCTTCCTTTAGGTATAGCATTTTCACATTTGTCCTGTGTGTAGGCTTAAACTTTTCAATATGCTCTTTTGATATAAATTCCTTTCTGTGTTGCAAGAAATGATGCAGTGACACATAAAAGCTTATTAGATGTAGACCTTTACCTGCACAATGAAGCTTTTTTTTCCCTGTGACACAGTGAGATGAAACTATTGCCATAAGTCTGTGTTTTCTTTTTACACTGGGGATAAAGGAAATGTTAATTGGCTTGAAGGCTTCATGGTTTACTGAGTTTAATATGCATATTGGTAAATTAACATTTCAGCTTCATTATTCCACCTCGTTCATTTCATAATGGCATTTCTGTAGATAATTAATTATAAGGGACTGGGCTAAAGTTCTGACTATTTCATAGAGAGTATATTGAGTGATAATGATGATAACCATTCAGCAGATGTTTTAAGGCTTGCTCTACAGATTTCGTACTGAGTAGAAATGGTAGACTATAATGGTATATTCAGTTGTTTATTTACAGTTTTTTAGAAAAAATATGAAAAAAATTTTATTAGCTTCACCTCAGAACAGGAAGAATTTTTCCAGCAGTGGATTCCTGAAGATATTTTTGTATTAAGCAAAAGTTTGGGTCAAGTCCTCAATACTAGATAGAATAGTGAGAGGAAAAAGTTTGCGATATTAAGCACAATCCTTTTATCCTTTTTCCTCTTAAGTGTTGATGGCACTTTCTGTTACTATCTCAATTTTTAAAAGGTAAAATCAAATATTCAGAACGTGTATATGATGCCTGCATGGATGCCTTCGACTGCCTTCCCTTGGCTGCTCTGATGAACCAACAATTCCTGTGTGTACATGGTGGCTTGTCTCCCGAGATCAACACCTTAGATGACATCAGAAAAGTAAGTCTTGGAGGTTATTACCTGTAAGCACAATGCAAGCCCCATCTGACAACTCCTTGTGCCTTGTTAAGTGTTCTGTGCTTTCTTGGAGAAGATGCAAAAGAGCTCTAGAAGAACCTCACAATATATAAAGATGTAACAAAAAAGGCTCATGTGATTGTAATGAATATAGTTGGTATTTTTTTAAATTGTCAAGAGCTTCATTCTCAATGAGTCCCACCATATTTTTAGTTGTTCTGCGTTAGAGTGCCCAGCACATAGTCTAATTGAGGCTTAATAAGTTCACACTTGTAGTACCCTTATGTTCTGAAAAGTTTCTCAGAAATCTCATGGAAGTTCAGAGAACAGTATCAAACAGCTTCTTCACATAATCTAGTGTTATTGCATGTTATCAAGGTTTAATTTTTTATTCACATGTTTTGTGGAAGAGATCTCTAGGAAGTCGATATTTCTAGGAAGAGCTATTTAAACCATTCATTCTTAGTGTTCCCAGAAAAAAAATCCTCCTTGTTTGCTGTTTGAGACTTGCAAATGGATATCTATTTCTGAGCTTTCAGGTTAGTGAAAGGTAATTTATATTCTGAGGTTAACTTGTAGTCTACTAAGAAATGAATATAGTTTAAAAAAAAACAACAACAACAAATTGAGCCAGTAATTACATGTTTTGGTTTAAAAGCAATTAGCTTAAGATATTAACTGCACTTTAAAAAATTACTGAATGCAAAGTTTTGTTTCTGAGGTAAAGGTTTACTATCTCAGTAAACAAAAATACTCTGCATAAAAATTAGCTGGCTCTGCAACAGCATAATGGCAGAGTAAAGTTGTTTAGCTCTCAGATTCTAGATTAGGTTCATTAACACCTTTCCTTCTCCCTGCCCAACCCCGCAGGTTTATTTATCTTTGGCAATCAGCAGAAACTGGGTTTGCATATTTATGAATTTTTGTTTAAATGCATTGTAATTACATAAGCATTACTCGGAGAGGGCTGAAATAAAAAGTGTAGATATGCTGTGAATATGTCAAAACAAGAACGCAAAGGCAAAATTGTAGAGGTCTCTTACTAAAACTTTGAGTGTTGAAAACTTACAACACCCATTTGTTCTCTTTGTTTTTTTTTTTTGAGGGGAGAAAGTATCTACTAGCTACTGAATCTTTTACTTGATCTTTCTGGTCAAAATAGAGAATATTGCAGACTGCAAGCCTTATTCATACACTATCTTAACAGGGCTGCTCTTATGTGAAAGAATTCTTGAGATAACACATGATGTTATTATATTAAAGAGTTCTTCCAGGAGAATACTGATTTTTATTATTTTATTATTTTGCTGTACTTCATCTTATTTGCAGTATGATTCTATATAATTTGAAGAATTAAATACCCATAGGAGGACCAAAAAGAAGTTTTTAGCTTCTTAATTAGGGTTGAGGTTACAGGAGCAACAGCAATGTCATGCCTACATGCTGTAATGCAGAGATATTTTCTTGATATTTAGATAATTTTTTTTTGTGAAAATGTACATAAATCTAAATGGAACCTGGCTTTGAAATAACGACTATATTTTCTTGAGGTGCCCCACTTACATAAATTTCATGTTTTAAGGTTTGAAAAATCATGAAATACAGAAATATTATATTCTCCCTTGTCCACTGGAATCCTTGCAAAAACCAGTAGAAAGGCAAAAAAAAGCAAACAAAAATTCATGTAGAACATGAATCCACTGAATCTCTTAATTTTCAGTTCTATCTATTCCTTCTGTCCCCATCAATGTTTGCAAGGAGTGTTTTGCTGGTGCTTAAACTCCTTTGCTTTAAAGCTGAAGAACAGATTGCTATGAGTCTCTTGTTCACTTGCTCATGGAGTGAAAAATAGTAATTTTGCTTCATTGTTTCTGTGATACATAGTTGAAAGAAGTTAGTATTTCTTTGTCTCCTATTTTTCTTAGTTAGATCGATTCAAGGAACCACCTGCATATGGACCTATGTGTGACATCCTGTGGTCAGACCCGTTGGAGGACTTTGGAAATGAGAAGACTCAGGAACACTTCACTCACAACACAGTCAGGGGGTGCTCGTACTTCTACAGGTGATTGTTACTACTTTGGATAGATTTCTGTTGGTGAACTGGTTCTGCTTTTGCAGTATAAATGTTTGCTTGAACTTTGTGGCACTACTTAGGTAATTAGGCATTTTTTTCTGCAGGCTAGCCTTGTTTTCAGAAAAATTCATCCTTGCTTTATTTTAATCTCTTCTGTTATGCCACAGTGGGAAAACTCTAAATCACTTAATTTTATTCACCAAAGCCTGTGTATTTTGCCTCTGTTTTTGTAAGTTAGAGAATGAATGTGTCACTTTTAAAAAGGGGTATGCAACTGCATTTCTAGTTTGGAAATTAAATGTAATTTCTAATGAAAGATGCCAGCACTGAAAAACGGATTACTTATTGTTCTGCAAGGTAAATAAAAATTGTGATTTCCCCCACAGAGGAACTCTTTTTCCTCTCAGTTTGATCAAATTTTTTTGTTTGTTTGGAATCAATTCTTCTTAAGAAATTCGGTATTTAAAAAGCATTTGTTAAATGGGACTTAGTAATACCTGAAATGCAGAAAAGTGCCTGTAACATTCCTGCAGAAACATGAATGTGCTGTCCCCTGACAGTGTGGGGATTTTAAGGAATTTCTGCCTTTTTTTTTATTGTGGTAGATAAGAACAACATACAAGGACACCAGAGTAGCAAAACTAGCAGGGGAGGAGGTTAAATGGCAAAATGAGCAATGTATTCAGTGAAATATTAATTTAAAAAGCGTTTTTGTTCAGGAGAAACGTGAAGATGTTATTGAAATGTTAAGAGGTTGTTGAACTTTTTGAAGTGAAGCATTTCTGCTTCAGCCCATGCTAGTTACACAAATCTACGTTTTCTCAGCAAACTCAGAGGAAGGGAGGAATCCAACTCTTTCACTTGTGTTAGAAAATCTCACCTTGAACACTGACTGTAGCTGTTTAGTAACATGTCAAAAGTAAATCAAGGGCTTCCACCAAAAACCAGGTGACAGAGCCGCTGGAATCAACCTCCTTGTTGGTGACATTATCAGGAAGGTGGCAGATGGTTTGATGTTCAAAAATGAGATTTCTGGCTCCCTTCTCAGAGCCCTGTTGCTGCAGCATGGGGCCAGTGAAGAGCAGAGCAGTTGGCTCTGCAGCCTGGGCCGCTGGCTCCCGCCTCCGGTGGGCAGCTCCGGCAGCCACACTCGGGTCTGTGACATCTGGGAGGTGCTCCATGGGTGTGTTTGGGATCATCATGAAAGGGATGGCACACTGCTGCAAACAAATGGGCTATGACTGAGCAGTAAAATCATTGCTTATCCTCTCAGCAGCAGCAGCAAATGCTGGAGTGTACCTGTGACTCCCAGGCACTGCACACAATGGTGATTTCCACTCATGAATAGCCTGGCAGATATGGCTTGTGCTTAAATACAGGGATGTTTATATACTGGAAAAAGTTCTAGATTTTAGGTTGGGGTTTTTTTCAGAGGTCTGCTCCATACAGTTGCCATAAAATTTCTTTAATACATATATAAATTTCCTCCAGAAAATGTACCAGACCTAGTCTGTGTCCTGATGCATATTCAGAAAAGTGCATTTTCAGGAGAAGAGGAACTATTCAGAAGACAGCTAATTATCAGGTCACATGAGGGACATATAACTGCTTGATGATTGAGTCAGAAGGCTAGCTTGGAATCATGTTATCTGAGTTTATATGAAGGCAAGCATTCCTTTTCAAAGAAGTATCTAGTTGCCCTGGAAGATGACTAATTGCTTGCCTAATAATAATACCTGGTATAAAAGGTATCCATCAGTGTAGAATGTCTTAATTTTCCTTGCCTTTTCTAGTTACTTCCTGAGTAAAGGAACAAATTTCCCTGAACAGGCTTGTAAAGGAAGGACTGAATTACTCAGTCCTCCTTCAAGAATGCCTGTTAATAGAATGACTGTGTTTATTCTTCACTGAATAAAATTTCTTAAGTTTCTTCAGTCATTTCTAGAACGGGAAGTTAAAAGATAGCAATGAGAATTTTGAATGAAAGTCAGGAAGATTTCGGTCATGCCTGCAAATAAGTGAAAGAATTTCTAGCTGATTAAGGTCTCCTAATCAATTGCAGGAAATATCTGTAATAAATAATTTTTATTTATCAGAGATGTTCTTTATAATGACAAGTTGCAAGTTACTTTGCTCTGAGTTCCAAGTTATTTCCTAATACAAAGATGCTGTGGGGAAAATAACAGTAATGTGGCTTTCTAACTGTGCGTGCACCATGTTAACTGGACCTTCCATCTCAGAAGTGCACAAAATCCTCTGCATTTAGCCAAAACCCATTTGTGAAATGTTGGGCCATTTCTATGAGAAAGTGTAAAGACTGTAGCTTACAGTAGTCTGACAAGCTTCTCACTGCATTTCTTACGTGATCACTCTCATACAGCCTATTGAATTTCAAACTGATCCAGTATTTCTTCAAGAAATGTCCCTTTATGTAAGAGTTCTTGAAACTGCTGTGGCTAGGTGTAAAATGTCAGATCTTGAAACCATAGGCATAACCTGTCATTTAGAGATGGAAAGAATAGTCTGATTTTTCAGAAGCGCTCAGAGTCAATGCTTAGTGCGCACCTTTAGCATCTAGCAGTATTTTGTACTGTGGATTGTCAAAATAGCACAATGCCAGAGTGAAATGTTAACTGTGGAATATAAGGAATTAATGAAAATATATTAAAGTTTCTGTACCTTAAAGAGAACAAAAAGTGATAGGGATGGGATTTCATTTTCCCTATGTGAAGTTTAAAATTGTACCTCCTTTGTAGTCCTGGTCATGTTTGATGCAATTTTGTGAAAAAGTAGAAATCATTAATGGAATGCTGGTTGTTTAAATTGTTCTTTTATTATGAGTTAAGCTTTTCTTTCATCCATACCCAAAATAATGTGCTCAGAGTATATTATAAACAAGAGGGAATTAATTTGTTCCCGAGTGATATTAGACCCACAGGCACATAGTTTTTCAGCTGATCCAGCCAGTAAAGAAGTTTTCCTGTTTACCAAATTATCTAATTCTTGCCTTGAATTTTTCTAGCAAATATTTATTTACACTTTTCAATTTGTACTGATCTTGCCAATGACCCTTTGCACTTATTTCATAAGCTAGTGGTACAGTAACTCTCAGGCAATTTTGTAAGAAACAGGTTGGACGCCTGGAAGAACCCCTTCACTGAAGGGGTGGTCAGGCATTGGAATGGCTTCCCAGGGAGGTGTTGGGGTCACTTTGCCTGGAGGTGTTCAAGAAACACTTTCCAGCCTTGGATAGCAGTGAAATGGTTCAACCTTGCAGATACTCTGGAGTAGAGTTAAAATTTTGGCCCTACAAGCAAATGATTTCAGTGGTGCACTTGACATGCAAGTTAAGTTTGTCAGTATGCAAAGATTAAAGAAATATCTGCTAAAAGCTTTTGAAGACTGTAGTGTGTTTTCAGCTCAGGGTGGGAAGCACAGTTGCATGTTTGTTTTTTTGTTTTTTTTTTTTTAGTAATAGCATTTTTAACAGATTCTTTTGCCCACTTTTCTACTCTTCTTTCTCCCAGTCCAGAAGCTTTTAGGGCTCTTGCTACCCTCACATTGTCTGCCCAGATGTACTAGTAGAATTGCTTGTGTGCTCCATCAGGCCTGGGAAAGCATCCAGTTCTGGAAGAACGACTCTGCAAAAAAAGATGTGTTTATTTGTTCTAATGCAGTGCCCTGTTCCACTTCCCAGTGCAGCTCTGCAGACAGCACAGCTAAGAGCAAGGAAAAGCTGGTGGAAAGGGATGTTCTGAGAGTTGCTTAGGGAACAGCACAGCAACAAAGCATTTGCCTTTGGAGACTCAAGTGCAAGGCCAATGGATTTTGGAGGAAACCTATTTTATATGTGCATGTAATGTTACAGAAGCTTTTTGAACTAAATTTGAATGTTCTCTTTTGAAAGTGCTTATGCCTCTCTTTTAATGGTATGATGAGGGGACATGAAAAAAAACTATGTTGATTCCATCTATTTTTTCCAGTTATTGGTGGAAAAACAATTTGAAAACATTTGCCATTTTGGTTCATATTAGCAAAGTATTGCTTCTCTTTGAAAACTGCCAGAAGTAATCAGATATCATGCAAAAGAGACCTCAGAACTAGTAAAGTATGCATGAGGCATGTTAATGAAAGAAGATGCCCAAGTAGGGAATATCAGTCACGTACTCCATGGGGAATAGCATCTCTCTAGCTTAGCAGAGGGGTGTTTTGTTTTCTCTGTGAGTCACCGCTCCTCCGTGATTCAGCATGACACATGAAGGCAGGAGGCTGGGGCGCTCTGGAAAAGCCTGTTGCGTGGGGGATTTCTGTTTGTTTGTTTTCCCTCTTGGCCAACTGCTTTATTTCTGGCTCATCTGAGTTACAGTCTCGGCTCTGCAAAGCAGGGCGAGGAGGAAGGGGTTTCTGGAAGGGTAGCACTCTGAAAAATTAGTAGGGAATTTGACTGCAAGCCAGTCATTTTAATAAAAAATATTTGAAAAAAGATTTCCAAGCAGAAGTAATTTCTGTAGAATTTTGGTTTTGATTATTTCTGCCATAATGTCTGTTTTATTGGCTCTTTGTGTGACTTTTTATTTTTACCTGCTTTTTAGGACATGTATTTTTGTGTTAAGTAACATGGTTTAATCTAAAGCTAACATACTAAGGAAATGCAGGATAGCATATGTAATAGCTGCACATGATGCAAAGTTTGCTACTTTTGCTACTCCCCAGCCTCTGCTTCAACAAGAAGCTCAAGAAAAATGCTTGCAAGTTGCTTTGCCTTTTTCAAAATAAAATATCCTGATAGACTGCTCATGGGTTGTGGTGCTCTGGGTAATAGGGCAGCTGGCACATTGAAGGTCCCGTGCTATTCACTTGTAAAAAAAGAAGGCAGGCAAATTATTTTTTTGTAAATTTGCATGGAGCACTGTGACACCTCTGCTATTGTAGGTGTGGGCCCTGTAGAATCTGCCAAATTCTGCTAGCAGAATTCTTATTTTCCACAAATTTATGAAGAACAAGATAATTAGGCAATAAAAAACTCCACTACTTTTGTACTTGAAATGGAAAGAAGAACCTATCATATCTATTTAGGAGCATTTTTTACCACTTCATTATGTCTTCTTTAAAAGCAGTACTTAACGCTGGATGAAAAGAATACTATGGAGGAAAAAAATGTAATAGCCTAGCCATTTTGAGCAGCTGCACTGATAATGAACATAATCAACTGTCTATCAGATTTTCATGATAGACCCCAGTTTTCAGAAGTTAATGTAAAAATTTCTAAACAAAATGTACCATAAGTCTGCATTTAGTCACAATTAATTATGAAAAGAAATGTATGCAAATCAGTTCTCGTTTGCCAGTGGTTTGAATGGCAGCCTGTCAGCATTTGAGATCACTGTAGTTGCCAAAACATTACCCCACATAATTTGGGAATTGAAATTGTTTTATAATGGCAATCTTTTTAAACAATTCCAAATACCAGACCTGCATCTGAGAATACATGCTAGGAAGCTTAAATCCAGAAACAGCAATACAGCATTCCACTGGGTTTGTAGCTTCTAGCTGCAATGACATTTCAGTTCCAAAATACTCAGAAAGGTTTGGAAGCAAGTAGTATCATGTCTCTTGGAGAAACTAAAGGAAGATGATGTATTAGATTGGGGGAGAGGGGTATGTAAGTTTTCATCTTTTTCATGCATGAAATTAGAAACTGAGGGGGCTGTTAACTGATTGCAAGTGGCCACTTAAGGTGAAACCATGAAACCATGCCTGGGACAGCAGTTTTTTGTGTACTGTATACTTGAGGTTTTTTGGTTTTTTTGTTTGTTTTTTTTTTTTAATCTTGCTCAGTATGTTTAGCACAGATATATTCAGTGAACACATTTTTGGGGTTTCAGAAGTCACAGGATTTTAAGTTGCCAAGGGGAAAGATAATTTATTTCTCAAGGAGATAAAGTTCAGGAAGATAAACATTCCCAGTTTGAGGATTGATTTTCCTTTCTTCTTTCTCTCTTTCCTTTTCTTTCCACTTAACCACCTTATTTTCTGGTGTCCATAAGCAGCCACTGCATACAGTAGTCAGTGGGTGAAGTTTTCTGTTACAAGCAACTGCTGTGTTACATTTTGCTTTTTTAGAATACATTAAATCTTAGATGAATAAAAGAAAGTACCTTTTTTTCCTGACAAGCCATTGGCTGATTGTTGTTATGTAATGGATGAGTTTCTTGCATTCCTTTCCAAGCAGTTATGGGGGGGGGATTTAAAAAGACACTGCTGGTGATATTGTCTCTCCTGAAATCTGCCTGCAGAGCAGGTGCTAATTTCATGGATGATGCATGCTTTATGATACATTTTTTGAAAGCTATAGAGTTCTTTGTGCTGCTTCTGATAATGCCTTAACAGGTGCTATTACTTTTTTTTTAACAGTTACCCTGCTGTATGTGAATTCCTACAGCACAATAACTTGTTATCCATACTTCGAGCTCATGAAGCCCAGGATGCTGGGTAAGTATGTGTGGAGAGGGGGCAATAATAATACTCATTATGTATAATGGCTTACCATTCCCAAACAGAGCAAAAAAAGGAAGAGCAGATGAGTGAGAATGAACTGGAATATATAAGTTGCAACAGCTCTCACTTTTTACTAATGCTACAAAAATACACACTGGCATTATAATGTCTTTTACATTATTATTAGTGAGTTACAAAATTTAATGAATTCTTATAAATGCCACTTACTTAGCCTTAGTGTATTTAACTAATTTAAAATGACCAAAATTTTTTGATGCCAAACAATGCCAGACATGTAAAGAAAAACAAATTCATTTCAGAAAAAGGTTTGCAAATATGCCAGAGTATTTTTACACACTGATTGCCATGATGCCAGAGAAGTGATTTGGCTCACAAAGGCCAGAACTGCCATCTTTTAGGACTTTCTCAGCTACGTAAAACTTTTGGGTCTACTGGTTTTATACTTCATAAAAAAAAATAAAAATTATGGAACTGTATAGGCACATAAATTTTTCTGCAGGAGTATCATTAATGAATTCAAGAAGTCTAAGCCATTGAATGCAAAAACAGTCCAGGTCAAGCATCAGGTAGTGTTGATGGTTCCCCATGAAACTATTGTCATTATAAAGGTAGAATTTTTTGTGCTGCTTTGAAAAAATTACTTTAAAAATTCCTCTTATTTGAAGTGTACCATACTTGTGAGATATTAATGAAGGATTGGAATCTGAATAAATAGCTTTGCATATCATGCCTAAATTATTATTGTGTTTGTTTGGAGGTAAAAACTTTAGCCAACTTGAACAGCAATAAAAGATAAATTAGTGGCATTGTAGGAATAAGCTCAATATTCACTATGCATATTAAAAACTATTCTGAATGTTTGAATTGTTGTGACTTCCATATGGTAATGCAATTAAAAGCAAGCTATTACTATGCCAGAAATACCTAGCATGGAATACTCAAGGGTAATAAGATTTCTTTTTTCTTGTATTGCTTTCCAGTAAAGGGTGAAAATTAAAATTTTGTGGAAAAGATTGCATTTAAACTATACAACAGTTTCAGTGCAACTTTTGTGGATGTTTGCTGAATTCTTAGGTTTCTTGTAGCTGAGGACTAAAGAGCAGTGTTTGGTGTACTTGTGTCTAAGTACTGTTTGGTTGCTTTCTTTCCAATTACTTGCAGGTTTAGTGCTTACCTGTTGGCCCAATAAGCCTCGTATTTTTCATGAGGCAGTAAGGTTAGGTAATGAAAACACACAGACATTAATAAACTGGCTGATAGAGTGGATAAGATTAGACACAGCACTGAAAGTATCAGATGCCCCATTTCCCCTTCCCTTCTCACCCCTTCCACGTGCCCTGGCCGTGCCATGGCTTCTATGCCTGGAGAAGGCAGGCAGCAGGAGGGTCATGGGGGACACCCAGTTCCCTTCTGAAGGCAGGACCCTGCCAAGGCACCTGCTGGTGTTTGCTTCACCCACAGTCCCCCAGAGGGAAAGGCTGGCCATGTCCTGGGCAGTGAGCAAATTCACAACAAATCCCACCTCTGGCTCACTGAATTTCAGACAGACACACCACTTTCAAGCATGGATTCCTGGTCACGTCAAATGGTTATAATGAGAAAATCTGCAGGAAATACTTCTTTCCTGTGGCTTTTAAATAGCTCATGTGTGTGTTTTTCAGTCTTGGCAGGTGTTAAAAGCCAGAGCCCTAATGCACTGGGCATTTTTCACAGTGAATGTGGTCAGTGACAAATGGACATTCAACACTGGGTAGTAATGAGTATCTTCTCTTTCTTCTTAGGTATCGTATGTACAGGAAAAGCCAAACAACAGGCTTCCCTTCGCTAATCACAATTTTTTCAGCACCAAACTATCTAGATGTATACAATAACAAAGGTAAGATTTAATTTCTGTTCATGTACAGTAGACTGTACTTCTGTGCACTTGAATATGTTGGTGTCTTTTCAGTCCTGTGTTTATCAGTTCATGCCCATTTTCTTCCTCTTTTGTTAGTTCATGCCCATTCCACTTATTATATAATACAAACCTAATTAAATTCCTTACAGGCAGATGTATGCCTCTGAACATAACTGTGTATTTTAATATGCCTTAGGATATTTCTGTATTTTGACTGCAAGTTATTAAGTAAATGTTACACGGGAAGCAAAACTTAAAACAGCTCTATTAATGAAGAAGTATATTAAGAAGTGCTCTGGGTGAGATGTTTAGAGCCTAGTGTTCCTTATAATTAATTATCTGTTCCTTGCTTCTTTCCAATAAAATTATTGGAGTTTGTATGTGCAAACTGTCTAGCCAGTTAAACTTTGACAGGTCATGAGCAGATAAAGCATGGGATGGATGTCTGAGTTCCTTTACATTTTGGGGGTTTTAATCCTTGACTACTGAAATGTAGAAAAATTAAATATAAATAGCCAAAAAAATAAAAGGTTACTACAGAAATAAGGGTCGGTGGTCACTATATAAAAGCTCCACTCAATACAAGTCTTTGCAGCTTCTCTGAATTTATTCATTTATTGCATTCCCAGAAATCTCTAATGAACTGGAAAAAATATTCATGTTTCTAAAAATAAAGTTTTCTAATAAACCTGTCCTTCTATATCTTCTAATGAGCAGTATTGTTTACTTTCTCCTAGTCCCCATAATGATAAAATAATTTGTGTTTCTCTGTGAACAAAGTAAAATAATTCTTTCTCAGTTATATTCTTGCAAGTTGCTGCCTTGCAAAGAGATCAGTCTCTCATGTGAAGGGCTGTTTTTAATCTGGATGCTTGTTTGCAGAGGAAGCAAACAATACTTCTCTTTAAACTTGAAAAGAAAGCTTTCTTCAGGCATCATTATATGTTATAAAATTTATAATCTAAAAGATTTTATTACATGAACTGAATGCTAGGGAAGGAAGCACTTCGCTGCTAGATAATGGGGTTTTTACACCTCAGATTTCTTAATATACCTGTTAACTTGTGGGAAAATTAATATGTTATTCTGCAAAACCATGCAAGCAGAACTGTCAATAGCTACTTTTGTAAAAGTTAATGATGTAGGGGCTCTGCTAGCAACCTAAGAAGTGCAGGATGAAGTAAGGGAATGTGTTCATTTTCTTGGTAGGATCATTGCTATTGGTGGAGAAGTGTGTTTACTCTCCTGGTTGGCTGCTTTGGGTTGAAGGCTGAACGATCACAAGTCTGTAAAAGAAAGGTGGTAGAAAGTGTTCACCTTTTGTTTCTTAGGCATGGAAGCAGTTCTGTGCAATGAAGGCAGTGGGTGAATTATGTGAAACTTTGTCTTGAGGGCAAATATTAAAAGGAAAGCAATGATTCACAGTGTTCAAAACCTTGAATTTGAAACCACAGTTTGGGTGGTAAAGAGAATTGCCTCTCTTTTATCTCCATTTCCAAAGAGAGGGTCATTTCCATTGTTCCAGGATGCTCCACTGTGGCAGGCAGGTGTTACATGTGGTGGAATGCCTATTTTGATGGGAAGCTCTACACCATTTGCTGAGGGGTTATCTGTGGCCACAGCTGGAGTTGGTGTGCACTGCCAGCAATACCTGCTCAGAGTGAGCTCAGGTAAATCAGCACTGATGCTGCATCAGCACCTGTGTGCCACTCCTGAATATATAACTTGTGAATTCAGAGGCTGACCTTTAACAGCTTTGTAATGGATCTCCATTGAGATTATCTGCCTCCTTTTCACTCATTAGAAGTTTTGAGGCATTATTTCATGTGACTGATTGCCCTGACTCTTGGCATTTAAAGTACATCATGCATAGTTTATCATGCTGCATTGCTCATACATCTTTATCTGGATAGTTTCTGGTTGCTTGCTTCCCTGTTCAAGGAAAAAAAAAAAACACTATGGTATAGAATGAGTCCAAAACATGGCTACTTGTTGACTTCCTTGGTTTGCAGCAAATGAATTTACTGAGAGCACAGTTTCTGACTGGTATCAGGAGAAAAAGGAAGGTATTTCCATTATTTCCATCCAGAGGTGTTGTCAGGGCAGTTGCTCTAGCTGACTCATCATGCACTGGTGCAGAACCTAATTGACTTTTACAGGTTATCTGGAGGTTTGGTTACTGTCAGTCCTTGGAAAAGGAGTTATTCTCCTACTAGTAAGCACCTTCCTGTCTAGTATGCGTTCTCAGTGTTCCTCTGGTTGTCAGCCAACAGTCACCCTGAATAAATTCCTGAGAGGCTCAAGCTCCCATTGACATTAAATGAGTCATTTTTAAATGCAGTATTGTTTAGGATAAATACATTTTTTTAAAGCTGCAAGGTTTAAAAGGTTTAAGAGGTTAAGAATGCTCATTTTCTCCCCCAGGTTGATAGTTCTTACACCCATTAAAACAGATGTAGTTTCTTGAGCTTCCTCAAAGCACTTCAGGAGTAGACTTGTTTGCCAACTTTATCCAGGGGCTCTTTCAGTCCCTGGTGGAGAGCAGCCATGGGATCAGATCTGGGATCAGATATGTCCTCAGAGAGCAGTAGGGAGGCAAGGATATCAATGCAAAAGAAGGTTTGACAGGAGTGGCTGAAGATAAGCTACCCAAACAAGCCTGTGTTCAGCAAATCTGCTGTTAACAACGCTGCCATGGAGCCTCTGCATGAGCTGTCTCACAGTGCTGACCCACCATGGAACCTCTTCTGGCTGTGCTGGGTTCTGGCACCAAAGGGAGGTTTCTGTATCCCTTTGGTTCCTGGCTGTGGCCTCATGCAGGCTGTGTGTGTCACTTGTGCACACGTGGCTGTGGCTCCTGTCACAGCCCTAGGCCACACACACAGCTTTGGGTGCCAGAGGGAGGTTTTGCATTAGGAGGCTCCTGTCAGGGCATCCCTCTTAGTTAAGGGAGACACAGAGAGAGGCTTTCAGGGGGGTGATTCAAAGACTCAGAAACTGCCTCAATATTGGGAGCCTTGTGTCCTCCTTTTTCCATTATTATCCTACTCCATTACTATTAATAATTCCTTCCATATTCAGTATAATGGAAAGCATTGGCAAAAGGGAGGGAATTTTTTGGCAACTTCTGAGCTACTGTTCAGTATCTTCATAGCTTTCTCAAACATTTCTGCTTTCATTTGTTTTATTAAAAGGCATAAAGATACTCAAAGATTGTTATTAGTACTCATTACAAGAAGTACCAGTGCATTGGTGATTCTTCTAAGACTACTGCTTCTGGAGAGAAAGCTTATGTAAGAAGATAAATGTTAATTGGATTGTGGTAGTTACCAGTGACTTCAGGGCCTTAGAGATCACCTGTGCTGATCAAGAAACTTTGAGAAAGTTGTGTAAGTACAGATTTGCCCCTGGGCTCCAGGGTGCCCATAACTAGGAGAAATTCTCCATAGCAACTGAATAAGAGGGTGCCAAAAATTACCTTGTGATATGATCTAGCCTTGTATTGTGTCTAAACTTTCATTACTGTATTCAGTATTTCTTAATGCCTTAATTAGACCTTGCTGTAGTGTTGTTTATGCACACCCCCAAAAAATAAACAAAAAAAAATCAAGTGAAAGATTCTACAGAAGTTCTATAGAGGCAGAAATGTTACTTGTAGAACACTGGTAATACTGGCATTTTTGTGTCTGGCTGTAACTTCAGTAAGTGGGTGCTTTTTGGCTGAGTAATTTTAACTTGCTGTTTAAATACAGACTATTATCTTTTGAACACTTTTAAAAGATTAGGTTTTGTAGTGGAGAGAGAACTACCAAAGTTATTGAAAAAATCTCCAGCATGAAGTTTCTTCCAACGTGCTGCAACATACATGTGTTGTTTCCTAAAGGAAAAGCAGGAAAAGAAAGTCAGTGTGCAGGAGAGTTTGGGATAGTAGAGAAATGAAAACTATCTGTAAATCTGTATGCTTGTTAATGTATCATAAGTTATATGTCAGTGAAGTGTATAAAGATTCAGCATGAACTATACCATGAAGTGTGCCTGATCCAGATGGATGTAACAGGAAAATTATTTTCACCTGGAAAAAGACAGAGTAGTATACCTGGAAGACAAGGATGATCTCTGAGAAATATTAGCACTTTGAGAGGAAGAAGAGAGATGTAACCTCTGTTTGCCCTATCAGTTTTCTTTAATGCCTTATCTCTGCTGCTATGAAGAGTACTTGTCACGGAAACAAAAGCTTTTAAAGAAGAGTTGTCAGGGTATCTAGGCCATCTCATTGCTGATGCAGAGAAGTTTGCCAAAAGTGATTTTTGCAGTCTGTTGATTAAATCTTGAATGTTACTTGGCTGTTTCTTTGCAAGATGCAGTTGCACATGCAAAATAAAAATCTTTAAAATTGTATAAGGAAAAATATTTCCATCTACAATTATCTTCACTTCTGTACTTGATTATTTAGACCATTACCTTGTAGAGTAAATAATTTTTGTCCTTTGATAGTATTTAAATTCATTTTACTAACCCTTATCCCTGACCTGACTTGGGCAGAAAATGCTGTGGTTACTTAGCAACTCTTCTTGAGAAGGCATTGTTCCCAGTTGCACAGTTAATGCTGAAGTTAATTTGGCATTAAATCAGAAATTGAAATTCTTTCTTAGGTGTGAAGAATTTGGGGGACTTTTCACTGATTCATTTTCTAAATGTGGGATGAGTTTTCTGAAAGAAAATTACAAGAAAATTAGTTAAATTGTTTGCTGAAAATATATTTAGGTTGTTCATCTAAAAATATTCTGGGCTAGTATTTCTACCAAGCTCATTATTTTTTCCTCTGATTGTTTTTTTTCTGATTAAAATGTTATTAATTAATTTACCCTGAAAAATTATTTGTCAGATCATGAAGCAGGATATGTCATGTCTTTGAGAAATTCTGAGCTATCTGTCACACAGTTTAATGTTGTTCACATGGCTTCAGGCCTTAACTTACCTCCAAATATATAATCTTTAAAAGTCCCATTTGAGATGCCCGAGGGTCTGAGACATCCATTCGGATCTGACCGGTGTGACACAGTTGCTCCAGGCTCATCTTTAACTGAAGGAGACCAGGGAGGTCTAGCCCTAGCTGCTGTGTCTAACCTTGAGAAGGTTAGAAGGGCTGTCTCCATTTGTAGCCAAAGGAAGGAGGTGTCTTACCTGCACAGTTTTCAACACCCATTTTCCTAGCCTTAGGGTAGCTGTGTTAAATGCTTCAAGCTAAACAGTACAAATGCCCTTTGCCTGCTGCATTAGTGTTTCATTTCACTCTGATGTGATTTCAGCATCCAATATCTCAGTTACTACCGTTGGAAACAAGTGTAATGTCATTTGGGCTATCTGTACATCTTCACTTTACAAAACATTAGCTTTTAAAACTAACTTACAACAGCAAGTATCAAAATTAGGTTAAAATGTGTGTGTCTGTTAAGAATAATAAAATAAGATTCTTGCTCTGGTTGGTGATTATACATGATAATGGTTGATGGCTTGGTCTTCTATCATCTGTCTGTGTTTGGAAAGAAAAAGTATTGAGGTTTCATCCTGGAATAATAAGCAAATGTTGAGTAGAGTCAGGTTTTCCTCTCTTACAAGTTTCATAACCAAAGGAGCCCATTCCACTTCTGTCTCCTCCATCAGCGACTGTGTGACCTCCACTCTTGTAACCTTCAAAAGCTGTGTACTCTTTCAGGGCTGCTGCTTCTCCTGTAGCTTCTTAGGCACTGAGTTAACTAAGGACTAAGGAATGAAGCAGAGTTGAAACCCCCAATCTTTTCTGAGCCAACAGAGAGGGAAAAGAAAGCTATTATCAAAAGAAACCACAGAGGCAGATAAGCTCAGGGAAACTCCTGCTGTTATCTGAGGAGTATTTTCTACTTGATCCAGGCAAAGTTTTCCTCTTCTGACTACTAAGTAGTAATCAGGACTGTACATTCATAACAAGAGCTGATTTGCATGTTAAATATCATCTTCATTACTTACCTAATAAAAATATTTTGTGTGCGTTGTGCTTGTAAATTACAGATTTTTAATTTAAAATGCCAAAAAGTATTTGTGATACTGGTTTTATGATACCCCATTTTATTCTATTCTTTTAAGAGAAGAGTTATTTTAGAAGGCTTCTCTGTTATTACCCTGCTTTATTGTGTAATGTTATTTTGAAGTGATTTGTTGAGGAGATGTACAGGTCATTTACATGGGAGAATTTTTTGAAATACTATTATTGGAACTTTATTTTGTAAGCTATTCAGGTATATAAATTAACAAGGTGTTGTGAGGATATTTTTATTACAGTAATTGTAAATTATCTTCCTTTCAAAGGAAACAACCTAACTAAAGCCATTTTTATTTAATTTTATGTTTTGCAACTGTTTTGCATAGGGTTCAGGTTTTTCAGAGGCCAGTTTTAAAAGTTCCCTGTAAAACTTATTTCTTTATTCAAATTTCACAGAATTTAGAAGTAGACTTAATTGATAAATTGAAGAAGTAGTGGGAAGGGGAACTACCTCAGCTCACTAAGATGATGAATTTGAAGTTTTAGTCCTTCTAAATGAATCTTTACAACCACTAAGTGGTCCTTTTTGTGTGGTTTTGACTCATTTTTTCTGTAAAGCCACAAACTATTTATTTTTATTATGCAATTGTGTCACAGTAATAGAAAAAGAATGAATTTCAATCTGCTGCATGTGATTTCAGCCAAAATCTGTTGGAAATATTCAGAGCATTGACACTAGTTTTCTCATTTTTGCTATTACTAGTATTAAGCCATTTTTTTCTTCTGCTGAGCAGCAGATTGACTGCCAGTTGTCAGACTGGGATGGGCAAGAGTCAAATGTGGTTTATTTAAGTGGATGGTGTCTGCCTGGCAAAAGTTCACATTATTGCTGTTTTCTGTGTCTGTCAGGGAGTATGTTTCAGAAACTCCCAGGTCGCTCTGGACTCTGTCGTTGACCACAAAATGGAAGGCATTTAACATCCTATTAAATATTTGTGAAGCAACAACCTAGTGCATAAAAAAAGGTTTCTTCTCTGATTGACAGACAATCAGAGAAATAATCAGAAAAGAGAGAAATAATCAGAAGGAATTCTTCAGTCCCTTCAGCCAACACTGCATTTCCCACAATGCTGTCTCACATTGCAGTTGTGCAACTTTATTGCTGGCTATTAAGTGATAACCAGTCCCTGGAACTACATTCCTCCCTGGGGAGATGGAAGTGGGAAGGCTGGAGGAAAGGGGAAAGCACAGAATGACACACCTTATGTTGACTGTTTCTGTTGCTTGTGTTAATTAAATATCCTGCATGCAGTCTCCTGTAACTGCATTGTTTAAAGAATTTCATGTCTTTAAGTCACTTTGGTGATAATCTCAAAGCTACCTTTTTGGATTACCATTTCAGACATGAGCCTGAAGTCCATTAACAATAGTTAACACTGAACTTGGTGCAGTGCTTTAAAAAGTGGGTGTGGCATAAATATCTATATTTCTGCCTGTGAACAGACTTAGTCTGTGTGTTTGTGTGTTGATAAGAATGATGAGAATGTTAAATGGTGCAAGACAAATTGTATTAGTATTGATTCCTATTATAGGGAGCGCGTTTTTGCCTGCCTAGAGTTTGCATAATGTGAGAAGCAGATGTCTTCTCAGTTACAATACTGTGAATGAAATATGTTGAAAATGTCCATCAGAAGAGCAGTGCTCAGTCTTTGAGTCATAAATGCTTTATTCTGTTATCTCCAAAGCATGGCTGTGAGGAGCTCAGATAACTGTGTGAAATGGGGGACTCTGAATACTCTGCTTCATTCCTCACTGGTGGCAGATCCCAGAGCTCATGTTCTTGACTACTCAGAGATATTAATTCACTTACCAGCCCATCTTAGTGGCAGGGAAAGCTGTTGACACTGCTTTCAGACTGAAAATGGCTTTCAACTTCAGTGAGGCTTTATCCTACTATAAGTAGCATTCAGGTGGTGCCACTGGATCAAGTGTATGGAAGCTGCTGAGCAGCTCTGTGGGCTGTGCATGCTGTCCTCATTCCTGGTCTGGTAGCCAGTTACACACATGGCTGATGTCTCTTCTGTTTCTTTTCTTTCTTCCTTCTAGCTGCAGTATTGAAATATGAGAACAATGTTATGAATATCAGGCAGTTCAACTGCTCCCCTCATCCGTACTGGCTTCCAAACTTCATGGATGTGTTTACCTGGTCCTTGCCGTTTGTTGGTGAGAAGGGTATGTATGTAAATCAGTTCTGTTCTAAAGACTGCAGAATGGTTTCTTGGTCACTGTGCGTGTAGCCTCATTTATTTTAAAGGACAAGAATAATTTGAAGACAGGTGTCTTGTTTTTGAAGACAAAGTTGTAGAAATGGGGCTCAGAGGGGCAAGCAATTACCAGTGGTTAATCACACTTCTCATATTTTGTTATAATTTCCACTCTTTCCAGGTGATGATACCCTTACCTTTCTGCTGCAGAAATAGATTTTATGGCATTGCAGGCCAGAGGTGCATTCACTAAACAAAATTCTGATTTGTTTTTCTGTTATAAGCTTTTGAACATCCCCTTGGATATCACTGCTGAATGGATGTCTCAACAGACTCCTCTACATGGGGTTACATCTTTACTCACATTACCTTTATGGGTGGGTTGCTTTTTCATTAGCAAACACAGAGCTGGTGATATTAAGAGCCAGTCTGACTAACTGTTCCTGGAGAGAGTAGAGGGATGCCAGTAGGAAGGAAAACTTGCTCCTCATCCCCTTCTCTGCACAGGACATGTGGTGCCTCATCGCTGGCAAGAAGAGTCTAAAGATCACAAATGATATTTTATTGAAACCTAATGCTCTTGATGTTGCTTAAATGCAGCTTCATGCTGTGAATGGCAAGTACACAAAAGGCATGAGAACACTTTGGTCTAGCATATTAAATTAATACAAAATACAAACTGCCTAAACCCCAAGTCATTTATTCAGTGCCTGAGATGAGGCTTGCTTTGATCCATCCATTATAGAGTATTGCTGCAACAAAAAATTACTGCCAGAAAACTCTAATAAACTCTTAAAAGCTGCTTGGAATAACAGTTCTCTCTTAATAGGCAACTGGAAATATAGCCAGCTGTGTCTCATACCTGCAGTCATGGCCAGCTTTGTTTTGAGCTACTGTTTTGTTTGAGGAAAGCTGCTGGTGAGACACCTGAGGTCTCTGTGGACAAAGCAGATAGACCATAAAACAGGGATTACCAAAGAATAGGCAGCTGCTTGCACTAATGGAGACATGACATAATTGTCACTGAGGCGTGTGCAGACTCTTGTGAAGCAGATAAAACGTGTTCATTTTCTTTGGCTGTAAACTCAGCCAGGCTGTTTTTAGGTTGGGCATGTTCTCCACACACATTGCAGTGCTGGAAGGTCACTTCTCAGAGGCTTCCCATCAGCAGCCTGCTCAGATGGGGCTGCAGGATGCATGGCCAGAATTGTTGAGGTTCTGACACCATGGTGTTCCTCATTCTTCTTACATCTTGGGGGTGGTTTTTCCTCCTTCATTTCTTCCAGTGGTCACATTCACCATTTTCTTGGAAATTTTAGAGCCCAAAGAAGTGAAATCGGTATTTTCCTTTCTATGCAAAGCAATACTCAAAGGATGTAAGTTGGTGTTCCACACAACTTGTTATTTATTCCCTTTCTTTTAATATAGATTTTTTCCCTCAAAGGCCAACCAAGGTAGGAAGCTGTTAGCTTCACTGGTTGTTGTTAACGTGGAAAGTCTTTCCACTAATACTGTCAGAGGAAAATATTAAATCCTTCACTAAAGTAGGAAAAAATCTAGCTTTTTCCCACCCTTCTAATTTTCCAAGCCTTCATAGTGGTTACAGAAGAGGATTTTAATTTTAAATTTTTTTTTAATTTTTAATTTTAACTACTTGACTAAAAAAATTAAAGTTTCAACCTGCGTAGCCAGTACAAGGGTAGACAAGCCTGGTAACACATTTAATGTTGCTTACTACATGTAGCTGTAGTGAAGTTTTTCTTAATCTGCTAATTGCTTCACATTTTATGTCATAACTTTGGCCTTTTTGTTCTCTGAGTTGCATTTTCTTGGTTTTGGTTTTAGCTGGGGTTGTTTTTTTTTCCACTGTTCTTAGTTTGTATGCTCTCTGGTTAGTGTCTCACAGTTGTCTCTCTGGAAAGAAATGAGACCAAGGTAGGGACAGTCTGTGGCTGACCCTTTCATGCCCAAGTTTCAAAGTAAACAAGCTGAATATGGCCTAAGTTCTTCCAATAGTGATGTATCTGTTGAATACAGAATAGTTCCACCTCTAAGGAATGTACACTGTCTGGTCTATTTGTATTTGTCCCTTGAATTCAAGGGGACATCTTACAAAGGTTAATGTTTTGTTGAACTTGAAGTAGTATCCAAAACCTGGATAAATAAAGAAATACTCTATGATCCCTCTTGTACCTTTTTCCACTGGAATGTTGTTCCCATTTGCTGGGCAGGGAAATCAAATCCTATTGCAATTCAGGAGCAACAGGAGAGGGGTCATTTTGTTATCCAAGTTGAGTGAAAAGCAAAAAATGCCTTGAGGGGGAGAAAACAAATGTTACCTCACTGACAGTTGCAAAAAGAGAGATCATTAGCAGATTTTTTTAAGTCTATTTGTTGTGTTCATTGTATTTGGAAAAATATTTGTGGAAACTTGTGCTTTTTAGAAGCTACACAGGACACTTTCAGCTTCTAATATTACGGATCCTGTTGTTTAAAAAGTGGGTGCTGTTATTGTGCTGAATTTTTATTCACACTACTACAGCTGGAGTTGGCTATCTGACAAACCAGGGAAGCTTAATATCAACATTTTGCACTTGTTTTCCATTTTAGTGACAGAGATGCTGGTAAACGTGCTGAACATCTGCTCAGATGATGAACTGGGAACAGAGGAAGATGGATTTGATGGTAAGAGCCTCTACCCTTGGTTGAAATTGTTTGCCGTGGAATTGCTTTAAAAGTTTATTTACTAACCATGAAATAATTTTCTGAGTCCCAGTTGAGTTCTGTGCCACTGAAAGCAACTGTTGTGCTGGACTCCAATGGATTTGCTTCCATTATGCTTCAGAAAGAATTAATGGCTCTGCCCTGACCTAAACCATTTCTTTATCCCGTTCTTCTGCTTAAAAAACTTGCATTTCCCTCCACGAAGTCTGGGTTATGTTGTCATGAAGGAGGCAGATGATTTCATGCAAAAGATCACAGGTATTCTCATAGTGAGTTTCATTATGTCAATGAAATATGCTTCCTGCAGAGCTCCTTCCCAAAATGTTGGTAGTGTGACTTTGGAAGACTTTTACTTGAGGTATTTCTTTAGTCACTTCTTTTGATGCACTTGAGTGTCTAAAAGGCTTTCAAGAGCAATAGAATCTTTAAAAATAAGCATGTAAACACAGATAGAAAATGTTTTAACCTGGCATTTCTGCCAAGACAGAAATGGTCACTTCTGTTATCCTTTGGGTTGAAGTTTATATGATGATTAGTTGCCCTGTACCTGTTGGTTTGACTGTAAATTGTACTTTGTATCCTAAAACTTGTAGATTCTTAAAAGTCAGTTTATTTTCTTAGACATAATTTTCTGTTCGGGTCTGCAAGAATAAATAGCAGCTATCTAAAATGTCCCTTCTCAATTGAGAAAAGCTGAAAAAAAATCCCATGTATCCCTGACATTCTTACTCTGAATGCTCTCAGTGTTTTAAAAAAATCTGTGAAAAGTAATCATAGATAATCTGTCTAAAAAAAAATATATGAAAAGGACAGAAATACTAAGAAATAATTTTAAAAATAAGAACCTGGAAAAATCTAACACTACTGAATATTCTCAGGATGTTTTTAGACAGAATGAATGAACTAGGCAAATGTAGAACTTTCAAGTAAGACAAATGTTTAATGAAGTTGTAATTAATAATTAAGATTCTCTTTCAAATCTAGGAAGCTAGGTCACAGATTTTGCAAAATGTTTCCTTTGTGATGGAGAAGACTGGTATAGATGATAGTACTTTGATTTTATTCTGAAAAACCAGATGGAATTCCCTGTTCTGCATCGGCCACAGAGTGTGGACATGAACAATTATCTTGCAGGACTTGGGACAAAGACTGAATTATTGAAACTGGTAATCAGTGAAGAGAAGAAAACACCTGTTTGAATATTGTGCCCAATTTTTTTTTCCTCATGAAATTTAAATAAGTCACTACTGTGTAATTAAAGTAGTGTGTGAAATTGTGTGGAGGCATACGATGAGTAAAAACTGTGTCAAGTTAAATACAGTAGCAACAAACCATGTGCTTAAAATCCTTGGCTCAACAAAGCTCTTAAGCACAGGCTGAAATTCCACTGATTGCAATGCCAAAGCAAAGACTTTAGGGGAAAGATTTCTAAATGAATTCAGCCTTGGCCTAATACTTCCTTTTAAAGTTGTACTGTAAGCTTCCATTGGGCATAGACAGGCCAATGCCTATGTAGTCTTTTCCTAAAACTTTGGAGTGTCATCATTCCCATCCCCAAGTTACAGTTCAGGAACATGTTTTCAAAAGCAGAATCAGAAATAGGGAGGTGTTAGGGCTCTTGAGCAGCAGCCCTCTCCAGCTGAAGGAGGTCTCTGTATTTACTGTGTTTTTTCTGAGAGGCAAGTGAACCCCCATCCCACCTCCCTGGGAGTTTTGCCATGGCACTGCTCCACACTGGAGTTTGCAGCATTGCAGGTGTCTGAGCAGGGAGACAGGCTGGAATGCTCTGGGCTTGCATGTGTGTGTACTGTGTAACAATATCTAACAGCAGTAAAGTTTCCTTCCAGCTGAGGAATAACTAAACCATTCCTACTGCTGTGCCACTAATACAGTTACCTAAATCTGCTCTCAGGTTTTTTCGTATGAATGATTTCTCTGTGTAAAACATTATGGCAAGGAAGATACTAGAAATGTAGTTGTCTTTAGCATGTGTAGCTAAAAACCAGAGCTGGCATATGTTCATGTCTGCTTTCCCAGGTAATCAGTCCCCTTGGAACTGTAAAATGGGCTCTGTGGCACTGGTGCTGCAGCTTGCCGTGAGCTCTCACTTTTACCTACAGCCCAATGGACATGTTAGGCTCATGGGGATCATACACATGGAAGAGACTGAAGGATTCTGATATAGAAGTAAATTTGATGTTGATTTAAATTTAAATAGAAGCTGATATCTGTAATGATTTCTTAGTGGGTTCTGATTTCTTATCTGTACAGCAAACAAAAATGCTCTTTCCGTCGAGCTCCCTCTTCTTTTTTTTTTTTTTTTAAAAGCCTTGCCTTTTGGGGAAGAGAAGTACAAGATGTGTTTCATTTGTGTTCTCAGTGAAACAGACCAGAATGATTACCAGTTTAATCAAAGCTGTTTCTGTAAGGACTGTCTGCTGACAGTCTTGTAGTGGCTCAATATTTCCACTGTTCTTCATCAGTAATTTCTGTCCAGCTTCCTTGGAGGACTAGTCCTGTTTACTGGCTGATTTCTTTTTAGCAGTATTCACCATAGTAGGAACCACCTGATATCTGCAACAGCAGATGCATTTTGTTTTATGGAATGATTCTTAAAAATCATTGCTATTTTTAGATCATCAATAGTTTTCAGGGCTCGCTGCTGATTTCCTTTCTCTCCTTGCAGTTTGAACATGCCCTGACCTGGGTTCCCACATGTAGTGAGAATGGTCCATCACTATGGTTTGCACTGGTCATTCGTTACCTTCTTTTACGTTTTCTTGCCTTCTGTCTTCCCCTCTCATTCCTTCCTTCAAAACAAAGCCCCATCAGTATTGCCTGACTTCACTGCATGGTGTTCTTGTGAGCCCTTTTTTCATTTATTATTATTTTTAGTTCTGAGTCATGTATGTTGCATCTAGCCATAAGCAGGATGCTCAACAGCATGTGTTCCTTTTTTTTTTTTTTTCCCTGCCCCCTCACTGTTTTTTTCCCCCCCCTAAGGAAACACATCATGGGGATCTGATCAATTTGTTGTAGGCAGTTTCTGTGTAAGCTTACTGTGAAAAAAGCCTAAATATCGTAATGCCCTTTATCCCATATGTCCCTGCTGGCCTCTATTGGCCTTTTGGTTTCACTCACTTTAAAAATGAGAGAACATGATAGGTCAAGTTTCCTTATCTCTGATAGTTTCCTCTTGCTGTACTTTCTCTTTCCTGTTTGCTGTGGTGGTTGCAATATAATCTGGTCCAGAAAAAAATGTCTTGGGCAAATGTTAGTTCATGTGCTGTATGTTTGTGCATCAAACATATCACTTAGCAACAGGAGCTGCAAATACCTCTACCTAGCAAGCACACAGTCAGAGTTCTGTTTTGTTTTAATTAGCAACATTTCTGGCCTCATGCATTTGATTGAATAAACTAAACTGCTAATTAAAAGGGTACAATAATGCAATAAACAATTTGACACAAATGCACTGCTTGCTTTGTATGCATCTTTACCATGATTTGGCATGAAGACACTCCTAAATTATCTACAATTTTTTTTTTGTATTGCCTTCAACAGTGTAGCTCTCAGCCTTCTCACAGAAAAGCCACTGTCAGAGCCATTAGCTACAGCATTTATTCCTTTGTTGGAAAACAGCTTCCCAGTACAGTGCTGTAGTTCCAACCTAAAGAGAATTCCCAAGTCAAATGTCTCCTGCCAGTCATAACCTGGTTCTGCTGTAAACAGTAGTATATGACATTTGCCACATTTCACTGCAGTCAACTGTGCCTGGAGCCAGCTCAGCAGCAACTAACAGAGACTGAGAGAGCAAAAGCAAGGGTCTTGTCCTTAGGTCTGTTACTTACCAATATCTTGATACAGACCTTCATGGTACTGCCTGATGAGAGTGTCTTAGCTTGGCAATGTGTTGATTTTTAGCTGGGAGAGAAACTGAGGGGTTTTCCCAGGGGTTTGCATTTGTTCTCCTCCAAACCACTAAGGCTGGGCTGCAGTGCATACTTAATTTCTGTGAGTTGGTGACAGAGTGGCATTTTAATGTAATCTTTGTATCTATTATTGACTCTGTGATTTGGTCAGATGTGGTTGTTTCCATGCCCAAAGCATTTTCCTGTGAGCCGCATCATCGGTGTGCTCTGCCTCTGGACCAACCTAGCAGCCTGCACTAGGTGCCCAGTGTCCCCAGACCATGGTGCAGTTGTGCCTGGGCACCAAGAGCTGCACTTGTCTTGCCCTCAAAGAGCTGATTTTAAAATGCAGTACCTTACACAGTGGTGGCATTTGCATTTGCTGCCCGAGAGCTGCTGGAGCAGTTGGACAAAGGCAGGCGTGCAGCGGGTGGCACAGATGCTCCTGGAGAGGCAGACGTGCCTGTGACAGTAAGCTTCTCTGTGAGAGAACTGGAGCAATCAGTTTGACCCTTTTTAACAAAAGAGGCATCATCACACAGGCACAGCCCATATGGCCAGGGTGGGGCTGGTTTTGAGAAGTGATTAGCTTTATCAAAGCAGGAGAAAGTCTGTGTTGGAGAGGTGGTGACACCGCTGCTGGTCTCCTACCTGCATGTTGATTTCCTGCAAAACCTACTAACAAGGCTTTAAGCTGAAAAGGTTTCTTTTTTTATTTTTCTTTTTCCCCTCTCATTTCAACCTGTTTCTTTCCTTTTGGATGTTCTCTGCTTAATTTGTTTCTTTTCTGTTTTTCAGACTTTACTTAAACATTACACTTCCGTTGATGTTGTCAAATGTTCTGTATTATTTTTTATTTTCATTCTACAAACATCACTGATCTTTTTCTTTTCCCCTCTTTGGAATTCACAAGAAGATCCCATTTATGCACAGAAGAAAGGTATTCAATAAGTTGGAAGGCTCAAGTTTTCTTAATTTTCCTAATGCTTAACTACATAATATATATGAGGGTACCAGTGAGAGATTTGGGGTTGACTTTTTTACTCAGCACTGTTTTAAATCTGCTCAATCCTACGTCTCAGAGTATTGTCAGCATTTATACCCTTTTTTTCCTTTTTGTGCTTCTTAACCTGAACATTTAAATTACCTTTTATATTAATCCTTCATAGCTGGCTTGCAGATTCTGTGTTTTGATACCAATCCAAAATCCAATAGAACTTGTTAAATCACTGAAGTAAGATTCAAAGCTTTTATATTACCCCCTAAATAATTTTTACACTTCAACTTTAAATTTCTTTTTTTACTTCCTTCATTCAAAAAGGGTTTGTTTAGATATTGGAATATCTTCAAGATGTTTTCAAGCCTAAATGAGTCTGTGGTTCTAAGAAAAGAAGGTAGAATCTTAAGAGGATATCAGGCAATGTTTGCAAGGGCTAAAATTAACCCTTTTACCTATAGCCAGTTCTCAGGTTTTGACCCATTTACTTTCACATCAGTGTGTGCTTAAGTATAGCTCAAGTAATTCATCAGGATTTGCAGTAATAGTGAATTTCAAAATATTAAACTAGACACACTTGGAATGTGAGTCTAAGATTTATGTATAAATAGTTAAGAAATCCACATACTGTGAGGTTAGTGATATTCAGTCAAAACTAACAGAGCAATTAAACATTTTGAATATCAAGTACATTTGTTAATAAAGCCAGAGAGAATAAATAAAATTATTCGTAATGTTTACTAAGCTTATGTCATTTTCACATATTTGTGACACATTAGGAAATTCAGTGGAGACCAAACTCTTTAAGTATATTTTTTTAGTAACCTTTATGTGTATCAATGAGATACAAAATACTCCCTTTGAGCCTGTTGTGTTTTATGATTAAGGAGGGGGTTTTTCTCTATTCTTATTTTGTATTTAAATGTAGGACATTATATTTCACTTCAGTCATAAATTACAGTTCCAGTTTTCAGTTCTCAAATATCCTACAGTCTTAGTTGCTGTTCAATTTTTTGAATATCCTTATACGATACACCAGAACAGTGTGGACTTGTAATAAGCAAGTAGGGATTGTGATGTGTAGGGGTAAGAAAGGAAGAAAAATCATGCTCAAGTGTTTTCGGAATAGGAAAGGCTGAAAACCATGTCTTGTCTGTCTTGAGAGTACAGTTCTGTGAGATCATAGTACTGAGGCAGGAAGGTACCACCTTCTGTTCCTGGAGAACCCGGCTGAATCAGTCCTGTTTTATTTAAACTTTTCATTAAGCTGTTTAAAGTATATTACATTAATTCAGCTACAGCTGAATTATAGCTGTTTCTCCCACTCTTTATTGTCTAGAATTAGACATTTATGCCCAAGTGTTCATATCTCTTTTTATCTTTATATGTTTTAATATTTGCTCTATATTTTTATCTTTATGTGTGGGAGATTTGAAAGCCATCATTCTGAGTATCTTTTAAGGAGAAAGCTAACTTTATTCCACCCAAAACCAGGACAGTATCGTGGTATATCATAGCAGGTCCCACATTTTCCAGTACACCATCACCTTTCTTGTTTTTGGCAGATAAACACACAGATATCATTCCTCTTAGTCTGTGGGCTATCCCTTTAAAAAGTCCATTGAGTTCATGAATTCCATGACATTGAGCTCCTGTCATAACAGTTTTTCAGGGCAGGAAAGATGATGTGTGGTGTTGGGAGGTATTGGATTGTTGCACGCTGAAGCCAGTTCTGATTCCGCCGCTACTTGTCTGGTTTCATCCAAGCATATTCTTCACTAATGTTGTCCTCCTCATTTTTACCCCTTTCTGCTGATTTAGCTTCCCTGATGGGCTCTACAAAATAGATCAATTTGTTAGAATTTGAAAACAGAAATTTTCATTTTTGCCCTTGAACAGGCAGGAGTTGTCAGGCAGCATCCACACAAGTCAAGGTTAGCTGTCCTTCAGAAACCTTTAGGAGAAATCTTCATGATGTATGTGGTTCTGATTGTGATAATTAATGAAACTGGCTTTCTGAGTGTAACAGAACATTTTCTTGGGGATGTGGGGGATCCTTTGTAATAAGTCCTGTTTGCTTTTTTCCATTCAGGTGGTTCTCTCTTGCATGTACAGATTTTGATGATGCCCAAGTAACAAGTACACCTGAAACTCAGCCAAACTGTAGTCTGCCTTTTTTAAAAGGCAGAGTATTGCATGAGTTCACAAATTTCAAAGCAATTGTAATTTTGAGCAGTCCATAGCAGTGATTAGAAGGAATTTGCTCTGTAGAACTCTCTTTGCCACTGCCAGCAAACACAACCCCTACCATCTCATGCTCGTTTCTATGACTCTGCCCTTAGGCTTTATTATCTTTAAATAATTTTTAACTAGGAATGAGAAAAAGTGTTTTCAGTTTTGATTGCAAATGTGGCTTAGTTTGGCAAACTGTAGCATTAATATGATGTTTCTTGTATTTAGTATTGAAAGTATTTAGTGATAAATTGTTTACAAATCCCTATAACGGTTTTTAATGTCTTTTCCATAGGTGCAACAGCTGCTGCTCGAAAGGAGGTTATAAGGAACAAGATACGAGCAATAGGAAAAATGGCTAGAGTTTTCTCAGTGTTAAGGTAAGGCTTTATGCTGGGTTAGTTTTTTTTAGTGTTGAATGATATCTTTCAGTAGTTACTTAGAGCACTCACAGTTAATCAAACAGCAAATATGCTATTTTAGTATACCACCCAACTGAGTTCTACTGCAGCCTTTTAGAGATTGTTTTATTTATACAATGGTGCTATTTATTTTGGCTCTGAATAGTCTTCTTCAGGGCTTTTGCTGAATATGAAACAAGCAAAAGACATCAGCAAAAAAAAATCCAATTACCATTTTTAAAAACTTTTACTGACCAGGTGTACTAATTAACTTCTAGCCCCTGTGAGGCAAACGTTAAATGTGGGGAAAGGATATGTTATACATCACCTCTCGTTAAAAAAGAAGTCAGCTGTCACACTTTGTCACCCACAGATGTTGCTACAGCCACAAGTAATGATGACTAAAGATGAAAGCATTAGGGTCATTTACCTAGAAATCCAGGAAATGGTTGTGCAGGCAACAGCAACATGCTCCTTTGGGCTGCACTCCCCCAAACACATGAACATGAGTAACTAATTGCTACCCAATGTTTAGAGCTCTCCATTTGATGTCTCTGAGCAGAAGAGAAAACATGCTGTACTGTGCTGAAGTCTAAATATAGAAAATACAGTTCTCCCTCCCTTTCAGCGAGTGATTTTTTCCTCAGGAAGCTGTGTGTTGGTCTGCTGGAGTCAGTTGTGATGGGGTTATGCTTAGTGAAAAATCATGGGAGTTCTAAAACATTTACTGTTATGATTTCATGATTGATGTAAGAAGAATAAATAAAATAGTTACTTGAAGAATCCACTATTTAATTTCAGTGGAAACGTCCGACTTGCTTGCTTTGGATGCAGCATGCCAGCAGTGGGCAGGTTCTCTGCAGGGCTTTGCATGGGCACAGCAGTTCACCCACGCCTTGCAGATTGCAGCAGCATAGCTTTAAATAGCAAACTGAGATGGAGGGCCTTGTACCTGGGGATCCCAAAGTATTACAACTGACTTACTGGTGGTGCATGAGCTACTTCAAAGTGGTGCCCATAATAAAGAAAAAAAACAGGTTGGCATCATGCCTTTTCCCTAAACAAGATGGGGGAGCAATCAAATGTTTCCACCTGCTTCTCTGTACCAAGTCTGGCAGAGAGCCTGGAGGTGGCTGCTACCACCTTCATAAAACAGCACAACTATTTTCCTCTAATGATAGTTGAGCAAACAAAGTTTGGGAAACTTGGCTTTCTCCCATAACCTTGAACCACAGCTTCTGGATTGCCTGTATTCCGTTGTGAACCACCTTTTAAAATATAGGATTAGTTCACAAGAATTGTGAACTTTAATAAGCAGAAGGATCTGAAGTTGCATGATCAGCTGATATATTTGAAGTTGTACAACTTACAGATGATTGACATCAGCCATGTGTCAGACTTCTTCAAAGGGATCTGTAGGGCAGAAGCTTTTCAATGGTTTCAAGGATGGAAGAGGGATACAGAATAATTCCTGCATATGCTCTCTCTACAATGATACACATAAGTTCCACACCTTAAGTCTACCCCAGCCAAAACCACCACAGCCTTTTACAGCTCTTGATTATTGATGGCCTTGAAAGCTTTGCAGGAAAGACTGAAGATGAAGAGTAATTTGTTCTCCCTTAGCTTTAACCAGCAAATACAGCACATCCTCACTGTGATCCAAGGCATAGTCAGCAAATAAACAGGTACCTGCAATGCATGGTTTTGGTGACAAGTCTTCCAGGGGGATGAGTGACATTTCATCCCAGCCACCACTGGGATACCTGTTATCTTTTTTTCTGAGAAAGGCTGACTCCCCTCAGCTAGGTGGCAGGCTGCTAGGCAGTAAAAATTTCACAAGGTCATCTTGCAAATACTATTCCTGTAGAAAAGCCTGGGATATTTTTTCTGTCTTGTCAGCATAATCCATGTAAGACACAAGTGTCAGGTAATTGTGTGTAACCCTAGGAAGAAATCAGCAGTGCCACCATCTATCATCTGTCTATATACCAACCTGCTCTGGAAATCTTTGAAGTCCCTGTTCGAGTCATTGTGTTTTATGAAATTTATTTCACTATTTCTTGAAATCTTTCTGAAGGATTAGCACCTAATCTGACCCATCTGCAAAGAACTTGGTCATCTCTTCTTTGGGCTGGAGTGGTCCCTTTCCTCAAGGATGTAACTTGAATGTAAAGCTGAAATAATTTCAGCCATTTTAGTGTAAAAAATTAGGTATCAAAATAGTGTTGTATTGAGTTTCAAATGTTATAAATGAGCTTTGATGAAAATAGGTATTGTAGAAGGATTGGCTTTAGCTAAATGGAAGACTTCGTGATTCCTTGTCATTGACTCTCTCCAACTTTGTTTCTCAACTCTGACTTTTCTTTCAGTGTATTTAGACTGGAGAGAGGTAAATAAAGTACTTAATCAGTCTATTATCCTTTTTTATAAATAAAAATAAATTACATCAAATAGAAATGAAGGAATACTGAAGGCTAAAACATCATGATATTTGTGACACACATCTTTCTTGTACACATTCAGTTTAAAGATAATAAAAATACAGTAAATAAACTTAACCCATGAGGGTAAAGTTAAAAGTGCCATTGCACTTTAATTTAAAAAAAAAATATATGTAATGTACTGAATAATTGAGAGAAAGCAAAAGCTTTGCTGTGTAACTGTTGATGATAAAAATACTCTGTTAATTCTGAAAATATTTTGCTCTTGCGTTAGTTTTAATTGCTTGGGAAACTTGCAAACAAAATGGTCACAATTTGATTTTGACTATTACATAATGAAAAGTGAGTGCAAGCAGAATTATTTTCAAACTAAAAATAGAACTGGAAGAGTATATGTAGTAGGTAAACAAGAGTTGTTTCATATACGTGAGTCATTCAGGGCATGTAGGTCCAAAGAAAATTGTAAGTAGTAGAATTGCTGAGAGACAGTTTTTATAGACAAAACCACATTATCCTCAAGTGAATGTGGAACTAAATTCTGTCTTTGTATTTGCTTCCTCCAGCTTAATGTCATTATATACTTCAAAGTAAAGCACTTCAAAATAGGTTTCTCTTAAGGAATTGGGGTCAGTTTTGCTGCTGAGAAAGTATGTCATCATAGGCAGCATCACAGTCCTTGTAGAAAGCTTTATTTAAAGGCTTCTCTGGATAGAGCTGTTGTATTCCTCTAGCCATATATTTAAAAACTCTATGTATTTGGAGACCAGCAAAGCATATTTCAGCTTCATAAAATAATTTTGTTTAATCCATATTATTTTTAGCATACAAAAGTATTAAGGACATTACTAGAAAGGATGGAAGTGCTTATTAATTTTAATGAACTTTTAGCTGCCTTTCTTTAAGTGGCTGGTGGTCATCAATAAATAATGCACCTGCCTGGTAGTGCAGACAAGAGCAAACTAACAGTTTAAGTTGCTTTTGGACCACACAGTGTAAAATGCCTAAATGCATTGTTAGCAATAGCTGGTCCTTCTGGTCCTTCTCCTGTCATATTTGAGTTGACAGATGTATTGTTCCATAGGCACAGGTTATAGTGTTCACTGCAGTAGGAGTTGCATATGGTGTGATGCAAAGGTTTAACAAATGTACACAGCAGTGAAGGGAACTTCACTGGTGCTGATGTCATCACCAAATCCAGTCTATCTTGGCAAGGAGATTGGAGAGGACAAAATCATTGCAGGGCATGTGTAGCTTAAGATGTCTAAAACATATCTTGTGTTTTTAGCAAAGACATTTACTTACTTTTGGTGGTTTTATTTTTCATTTCTTCTTTAACCTTTGCAGAGAAGAGAGTGAGAGTGTGCTGACGCTGAAAGGTTTGACTCCGACAGGAATGCTGCCCAGTGGAGTGCTCTCCGGAGGAAAACAAACACTGCAAAGCGGTAAGCCTGTTTGCCCGTGTGTCTTGTCCTGTGTACAAAAAACAATTGGTTTTCAACTGCAGAACCTAAGAAAAGTAACCACAGCTGTCTCAGGAAAAAAAAAAAACAAACACAAAGGATAGAAGAAAACCAGGTAGTTTGTTGTGCTGGAGCAGTTCATGGGAGGCCACATCTCAAGACTTACTACTTAGCATCAATTTTTAGAGAAAAGGGGGGAGGCCCTGAAAATCAACAGTTCAGAATGATAGCTCTGGATTGTATGTTAAGTGCACTCTTTCCACAGTTCAGAGCATCTTTTGGGTTTTTTTTTTAAAGAGCAGCTCTTGATACGTGGAGTACTGAAGGTTCGACTTAGCTAATGACACTCAAACTCTTATTTTATCTGATTTGTTCTTCCTCATAGACAGCCAGCAGTGGAAAATAGGTCTAGAATTAGATTTTCTCTCCTAGAAATTCTAGGCGACAACACGAGAACAATTCCACTCTGATGTAAGTGAAGGGAGGTTCTTACAAACACAGTGTTTGCCTTGTACACAAACACAATACAGATTGTCAGTTTTATACCAAGTGCTTCTTGTTACAGGAAATTGGTAAGTCTATGGTAGGACTGCCTTTGTTTCCTTATGGAATAAGGAGTGCAAAGTGTTTAATTTATTACTGGAAGCTCTCCTTTTTTTCCCTGTGTGTATTGCTGTAGAGTATATTGCAGGCACGCATAAAGGTCTCTCAATTATAGAGGTTCTATTGGCAGTAGATGTAAGAAATAGAAATGCTTTATAACCTTGACACAGTCTCAGCCTCTTGTTTTCCTGTTTCCTTCCTGGAGCATTCTTTCTCTGTATTTTTCCCTTTACTGTCTCTTTAATCTAGAAGATTCAGGTATACGGTGGTAAACCTCCTTTTCCACTTTTTTCCCTTCTCTTGTTTCTTGTTGATGACTTGTGTGTGATGGACATAGTAACGTTCTGCTTTGGAAATGCTGCAATATGATTTCACAGGAGGCCTTTCTTAATGGGTTTGTGGTCTTCACCTAGGTTTTTCTCCATATAGTTGCTTTACATTTGTCAGAAAATTTGGTCCAAGGAAACTGCTATTGTTGCCCTGGCAAAATAATAGGAATTGAAATTAATTTGAGAAAATTGCCAAATGTTCTTGTTACAAAAGCTAAAAGCAAATCTCCTCATACTGCAGTATTCTGGCTCAGTAAAACATTACTATACACAAGCTTCTGCATTAGTTAACACACAGTACCCCATTCACCAAATACTCTGAAGTTCATATAGTTTCTGTTAAGCACACATATTGCCATATGTATTAACAGAAAATATGAGTAGTATGTTCTGTTGTGGAAGTATACATTTTAGTCTTCATTTTTTCTAATGTGTCAGTGCTGGTTTGGATCTTGTTATTCATTTTAATTTTTCATCCTAGTTATCATGATTCCTCTTTTTTTAAGTTTGCGTTGGTTTTGTTCCTTGTTTTTTAGCCATCTCTCTTGCTCTGCTGCTTGAGAGGCATAGGCTTACCTTGGTGCATGAGGGTTAAATCCTCTCACTTCCCCATGCAGCAAGATAATAGTATAGATATTTTAGAATATATCTTAATCCATATTTGACATCCTAACTTAAAAAAAAATACACGTTTGGGTTTTACGTAGGGGAAAACAAGACAAAAAAGAAGAGATGACTTCCTAAAAACTTGATTTCTTGAACTATTCTCTAAACCAGAGAAATTCTTGAAAATCAAAATTTCTTTTAAAATATTTGGGATATTGGATTGCATTTAATGATTTGCATCAGCTTCTAAATCTCTGACTGTAAAAAAAATGCATACCAAAGCTGATGGGTAAAACTCAAATGAAAGTATATGTTTAAGAACCATTAATGGATTCATAATAGTGATAACATGGTATTCATAACATTGCAGCAATCTCCCAGTTACAAGCTCTGCTCTCTCTGACCAGGCTTTGCAACTTTGGAGGTCCAACAGTCAATCTTACATCTGCATCCATTGATTTAAATAAAATATTAGCAAAATGTTTTTCAGGGACTGTGTTGACAAAAATAAAGTTTACGGATGGAGCAGACTGGGCAAGGTTACAGGCAAAGGCCAAGCTTTCTGAGGATCCCATGCTGTGGGGATGTTTCTTTTAGTCAGGAGAGGGAAAATAATTTTGTTAAGTTGTATATGGAATTCCTTTGTCTTGTACTGGCACCAGTACTTTTCAGGCTGATGTTGTAAGTTGTATGAATTTTGTGCAATGGCTTTATGCCATTTTTTGTTCTCTTTTGACAGGGCAAGTCAAACTGCTCTTACTGAGAGCTGGGACAATTATATAATGACCTTTTCAGGTCAGATGTGCAATATGGAAGACATTTACATTTTGTAGTTCTTTTGAGTCAAAAGAAAACTTCTTAAATGTGTCTTTAAAAATTTTTAGTTTGTGAAACTTCTGCTTTAAAACAAACTCTAGCTTAATTCAATCTGCAAATTATTGTTTTTGTCTAAACATTTCTCTGTGTGTCTGTTTTGCCAAAATCCAGCACTTACAGTAACATTAGTGTCGTAGCTCCTTTGCTATTCACTGACTTGTTCTTAGAGTTGAATCCTCTGCTCATTTTTTCTCATTCGTTTTGCTACCCCTTTCTTCTCTTCAGCTACTGTTGAGGCTATTGAGGCTGATGAAGGTAAATTGGCCAGTCCCCTTTCTGTTGGTGCCACAACAGATAAGGGCTCTGCTGGGTGTATTCATTTTGCTGTAGCTTGTACAGATTGTGTGGGTGTTGGGCTAACAATTGTGGCTCGATATTAACCAAAATGTAATTGCTTTAAAGGGGAAAGCGTTCTTTTGGTTTTTCTTTCTGTTGCTGCTGTTGAGGTTTTTCTCTTTCTGTAAGTTACAAACACGTTGGAATTGCTGTATGTTGAATTAAGCACTGAGTAATGCCACAGGAGGAGATCAGGGAACTCAGATTTCACGGGACATAACTTGGCAGCAGCTCATAAATGCTTTGTGACACATAGCTCAAAAGCTGTGCACTGGAGGCTGGCTCAAACTATCCTCAGCAATTTCTGGTCAAAGAAAACACATAGCTTTTTATATATTCTCTCTTTTTGTTGTTGTTTCTTTTCCACTTTTTCTTTATTTATGCTTCAGTTTGTTTCCTTTCTTTTAGGTCACTAATGAAAAAATTTATTGGTCTTTTGTTATAGTACAGCATGTTTCTGTTTCCCTTTAAAAGTAAAACAACACAAGACATTTGTCTGCAAGATGTCTGCTTCTTTTGGTAGTGGCAGTTTACACACTGGATATTTACGTTAGAGCAACCATTAACACGGGCACCATTTTAGCTGCATATAAAGTGACTGGCTGCCTTAGAAGATTTCTGAATGCTCAGTATTGAAAACTGGTGCTTTGTTGACAGACCTCTAATTTAACCCTTAACAATTTTGAACACTTCAGGTAAAAGCTAAGTAACCATGTATTGCAATGTAGATGTATAATATTTGTTCAGTATTACAAAGTTTTGGAAGAAGAATTTTCAGAATTCCCCTTTAAAACAAAATTCTTCAGTTGTATTTTGTTCTTGCCCCTCTCAAATTTTCTGTGGGTCTTTTTTTTTAACTAATTAAAAAAAAAAAATCTGGTGATTGTTGTCCTTCGGTAAGATGTGCCATTTCGGCCAGTTGAATTTGTTTTTGAATTTTTTAAAGCAGTGATTAAAATTACAGAACAAACATGTAAGAGAAAATACAACTGCTTTCTAAATAGCAGTGAGTAAGCTGCTATTTATGTTGGAATTATCTATTCCTATCGGCAATCTCTAATCTGCAGTGTGCATTCTTGTTGACAGTTTGGCTGTTTTCTGTGATTTTCTGTGACTATGTGTTGTGTTTTAGTAGACTCTCCATGTAACCTGCTAATATTCGTTGTCTGACCAGCAACTACAGCAGAGCACCTTCCTTAGTGTTGCAGACAATAATGTGTCTACTGGAAATACAATCCCTTAATGTGCCCCCATGCCAGCAACATGCACCCTTCAAGTTCATTCTCGATTTGCCATCCTTGCTAGTTAGCCACTGTCACCATAGTCACAACTACTGCTCCACACAGGTGAAGCTTCTGATGCAGGAGAAGTTTCACCAGTTCTCCTTCAGGGCCCGGTAACACCAACTGGGCTGTGCTGCTGGCAAGCTCCAGGACATGGCAACTGCTTCAGCTTCAATGCAGCCATCCATTAAACTATTGCTTTAAGGGATTGGCATGGGTGCTTGTTAGACATCTTCATTTTGTGGTAGAAGGTAAATTTAAAAAAAAACCCAACCCAAAAGGCAAACCTTCAGAAAACTTACTGTACAACCTGTTCTGTTTTCACTGCTTCGTCCCTGCTCACTTGACTAATCACCATTATGTTGTTGTTTTTCTGAGTTGAAGTATAATACATGTTAAAAACCATGCACTTCACAAAGTTCCAATGAAACATTTGTGAAACTGGCTAAACAACTAAATCCTGAGACAAACAGGATGTATCATTTTTCACAGGAAAGGTTGGCACAACCAGCATGAAAAAATGCCTTTTCTTTCTCCCCACTAAATACAAGGATGGTAGCTTGGTACCAGGGATGTTCTGGGGTTTTGAATGTGTTAGGCTTTTTTTTTTTAACAGAAGTTACCAGCTTGTCCAGAATCAGGACTCAACATAGGAAGGAGAGTATTTGGGGATAAAGGAGAAGAGAAAAGGGGAGAAGGAATACTGAATTGGATCCCTGAAACTCCCCTACCATTTTCTCCCCAGGGAGTTTGCAGTTTCCTGGTACTAAAGCACCATTTCTGCTCTGTGGCATGTTATGATAGAGGCCTAGCAGAAATTCCAGTTCTGGAAGTGGAGTGCACTGATTTGGTACAGATAAGAGAAAAAAGACAAAGAAGGCTGATCTACGGGGCTGAGACCTGCTGTTTGCCTACAGTGCTTTTTTTCTCTTTTGCTTTAAATCCAAAGATCTGCAACACTTCAATTAGAGAGAGAATAAAATAAAAATCGCAGTCTGTGAGTACATTCCTCAGCCTGTGGCTTCCTTCTGAGGTTGGTATGGCCTCACCAATGTCGCTGCTAAAGGGCAGATCATAAATCCTCAGTTGGAACTTTGGTCCTTTGTCAGTGCATTTCCTGAGCTAAACTGTATAGCTGTCCAAAATGACAATATCCCTGATCCGTGTTGCACAGTGCTCCTGCCATTTGACTCAAGCTGCTTTCCAGAAGTCCAGGGTTGTATCAGGGAGGATAATTGCCCCAGGCAATCAACAACAGCTCACCTGTGTTGAGAACAGAAGGCAACTTGTTGTAGGGTCACCCCAGATCTTCCCTAGCTTTCATGTATATCCCACAAAGTGGCCTCACCATGTCATCACCATCTGGAAGCAGCCAGCACTTTTTGCATGATCTTTGGCAGTCAGGTGGGAATTTTGCCTGATGAAGAGCACTAGGGCAAGGCACGGTGTCCGTAAGGCTGTAAGTGGTGACAGCAAGTGCCAATTCACCAGCTCACGGCTGTGCCCTCAGCATGGTTCCAAAGTGCAAACCATAGTTTCATGTCAGCATCTTGGTGTTCTAAGCAGAGCCCCAGTGGACAACAAAATACTGGAAGTTGATTGTGTTGAAAACAATAGTTGTGTTGGAAGGGACGGTGGTGGTGAGCCCCAGCTCTTTCTGAGCGTGGTAAGGAGTTGGTGGTGGTGTCAGATCTTCTCGTTGCTGCCTTCCCAAAGAAGGACTCCTGCACTTGTTGCTAAATTGGGGGAAAAACTGCTGAGAGTTTTAACTTGCTAATTTTATTTTTCAATAATCCTTTATTTAGCTATCAAAGGATTTTCACCCCAGCATAAGATCACTAGCTTCGAAGAGGCCAAAGGCTTAGATCGAATTAATGAGCGAATGCCTCCGCGCAGAGACGTGCCATCCGATGCCAACCTTAACTCCATCAACAAGGCAATCTCCACAGAGACTAATGGCACGGACAGCAACGGCAGTAATAGCAGCAATATCCAGTGACCACTGTCTGGGAGGGGGGGTGAGCTGCAGGGCGCGATGGGGTTGCTGCACGTCAGCACTGGGGTGTTCTTGCCTCTGATAATAGCTTGTTTGCTCTGGGGGCCAGGTGTTGGATTCAGTTTACAAAAATCATCAACAAAGAGATCGTCAACTTTAATTTGGTGGGAGGGCGGGTGGGGGAGACACACCTCCTTTGGATATGCCTTTAAATGCTTGTAGAAAAATGAAAGCTCATGCTGGTATATATTGCAAAGTTAGGGGAATGAACATGTTTTCCTACTACATTGGGAACGTCTAGCTATGTTACTGAAAGGCCTTTTATTATGTTACTGGACATGAAAACTTTGTTTAATTTCTTACTAACTATTGTACGTTTACAGTTGCAGCACTCAACATCTACAACATCGAAACATTTTTAACAAAATGTACAAACTAAATAAGGACTATTTATTGATAATGTTTTGCTACTCTTGTCAGACAATGGCTATGAAATAAATTAGGCACTCTTTAAAAATATAGAGAAAAAAAGAAAAAAAAAAGTTGGAAATTTGTTTAAAATGCCAAAAAAAGAGAGAGAGAGAGAGTGAGAGAGAGCGAGCGAGAGCGACAGTTTAATTTTGTACAGATTATGCTTACCTCAGGTTTCTTTAGTGTGCTTCAATGCCCTTCTTTAAATATAACACTTACCTTACTAATTTGGCGGCAATTATCTTTTTCTTTGTTAAAAAAAAGACTGGAATAATAACATTTATCTTTTTTTGCTGTTTATATTTAGGGGGGTTTGGTTTGGGAGGTTTTCTGGGGTTTTTTTGGTAAAACAAGTCTTGGTTGTGGCTTGCTAAATTTAAATATTTATGAGTGGTGCATTTTTAAGTATAGTGAACAAGACACCATATTAAGTGCAGTGAAAAGCATCTATATTCTGTAAAAATCTGCCTATGCATGTTTTTTAAGAAAAAATGGCTGTATAGGCCTGTATGGGACTGTAATGCGCTTAGTGGTCTGACTTATACTGGAAATGTATGTATACTGGCGTACTTTATATTCTCTAAAAAGAAAATGCTTAATGCCTTTGAAATTTTGTAATCAAAAAAAGCTTTGAAAAATCTAAGGGGGGAGAGTATTCTTAAAGTTTTTAACATAAGCTTGTCAGTGCACATATAGATGGGTAGCATGTTTAGCAAACCTTGTGAAATTTAAATAAGTTTGTAGTTACATGTGAAATTCTAAATGCATGATAACTGTTAATGTCATAATGGTTTAGTCATTTTGTTCTGTTTTGTCATGTGCCACAAAATGTGTAATTTTTTCACTTTTTTCCCTTTGTATATCAGTTACGGGTTTCAACTGGTTCATTCTAAAAAAGAAAAGGAAACAAAACAAACAGTCCATTGATATTTTTTAACAATTGTATAAGTGCCCAAGTAATTCACTACAGCCTACAGCCTTGCCTTTGTAATTTGACTTCGAAATGTTGGCAATCAAAGCATGCACTTGTAACAATGAAAGAAGCATTTTATATTACTACTCAATAAAAATGTGCATGAACTTAAGCATCCTGCCCTTTCTTGCTGTCTCAGTGGCAGAAGCACACAGGCACCTCATGCGTGTGCTTCTTGTTGTCTTTTGCTGTGGACAGGAGAGGACCGCTGCTGTAAGAGATGAGTGACTGGTTTCAAGATTCAAGGTCAGTTCTTTACCAAGAAATAAACCCATGTGTTACCCAGCTACTGACTTCTGTCAGTTCTTCAGTTCTGCAGACTTCCCCCAGGGTCTGGTTAGAAGGTTGGGTTTTCACTAAAATGAATGGGATGTAACTCACAAGTAGAGTGCACAAGTTAAAAAAAGCCCTCTGTGTGTTTTCCCCTTATCTGGAGTGTTTAAAAAGGTCAACAAGTATCATTTACAATGATTACAATTTCATTTCAAATGCTCTTTCTTTTAGTCAGAGAAGAACTGTCAAAGCTCTGCCTTATCATTTTCTCCCTAACTGTGCTCAGCATCATCCTTCCCGAGTCCATCATGCTGCGAAGAGCTGACAGATGATGCCAAATGGTGCAATGATGTGGGTATTGTCTTAGCCCTCCTTTCAGGTACCATTATTAAATATAGGCTCAGTGCCTGCTTTCTTACATGTTTTTCCCACTTTAGCTCTCGCTAATTTTGACAAGATACGACAGGTGGCAAAAATAAAGAGGTTTCATAATATCTGGGACTATTTCAGATGTAACTTTTCATTTCAGATTGTGTAGAGTGCAGCACAGATGCACAGAATCTGTGTGCTCGTCTGCCAGGTGGAGCTGTTTGTCCCTCTGGTTCAGGGGCACGCTGTGTGCAGAAGGGGACAGTGACACTTTGCGTGACCACTTGGCTTTCCTGCTGAGCCCTGTGTGCTCCCTGAACACTGCAGGTTACCTGAGGTAAGTCCTGCTCTGGAGACGCCCCGTGCTGCACGGCAGCGCTGCTGGGCAGCCCAGTCTGCTGTCTGCCTGCATTTCACTTAGGCCCTGGCAGTTCCACCAGCCAGTCTGGTAGTACAGAAGGGGGGGTTCTGCTCAGCAGGGACTCTGCTTAGGCTCTCAGTCGGTAGATTTAACCCAAAAGGTCCATGTTACCAATCACTTGGGCTGGAAATATCTCTTGTAGTTGCTGACGAGTTTATTAGATAAGCAGGTCAGCCCAGGATGAGTTCTCCACTAGGGAATGTACAAAGTGTCTGGTCACAAAGGAGATTTTGGAACTTTTTGCATCTCAAAAGAATGAAAAGCATCTGGAGCATGCAAAACAGCAGTGTCCTGTGCATCCAGGTAGGATGGCCAGGCTCCTTCCTGAAGCAAGCCCTGCCATCCTACTGAGGGGCAGTTTCTGGATTGCTCCAAGGGGTAGTCTAAGCTATACTGAAATGTTCCTGGAAGGACCAAAAACGATTTCCAAAGCTTGTCTCATTTCAGGGCATCCAATCTCTTCCAGCTTTCCTTCTTTTTTTCCTAATGCAGAAGAAACTGTGGATGAATTTGAAGAAAAACCCTGCTGCCACTGAAGGCTGAGTTTTGGATTCTGTGGCCTCATCCGTGACATGTCATGCATGGGGCTGTGTCTCCCTGTACAGATATCTTCCTTATTCTTACTGAATACCCCACCTTAATGCCAAAACCATCATTGGTGCCTACTTGAGAGATTTACTGTATTTTTTAACCACCTGAATCTTGCTGTGTGAGATAGTGTTTGATATAGTGTCTTATATTTTCTGCACTATCATAATTCTGCTTTTCAACAGCTATTAAGCACAAAGTGCATGAGCTCTTAGTGTATATTTTTTGCAGAAGACAGCATTTGAATTTTTTCTGGATTTTCCTCCAAAACTGCAGTAGATTTAACCCTACTTAAGCTTGTGCTAGTGTTGCCTACTGTTGGGCACAGGTAGGAATTTTTCAGTATTTTCCTCTTCTGAAACCTCTAGAGGAGTCCTGACCTCTCTCTTCCCTAGCTTAAGTTTTTAGTGAAGTGGCATTCAGAGTGTAAAATAATGAAAATTTGGGGGTATTTTCTGGGTGCAAGCTGAATTTACAATTTTAGTCCTTAGAAATCAGTTTCCCTTCTTTTTTCAAGATAATGTTGCTCAGATTAGTCAGATTGATGAGGCTTCCCACTTCTTTGACTAAGAGAGGGATGTGAGAATCAGCTATTCCAAATGCTAAAAAACCACAAGCACCAACACAACCATTTGAAAAATAGTTTTCAGTTTGCTTTCTTAGTTGTTTTTGGAATTATGTTTAATCCCCTTAAAAGTGGCCATTTTGGGCATGCAAAAGGATGAGACTTCTTGATTTTCAATGATTTTGGAAAAAATATATCTACATTCACATTTTCATATGTTCAGGCTTGTAGGCACTTTCCTGGCAGTAAAAAAAGATGAGCTGATGGAGCTAGAGATAGGGGTTGGGGTTTTGTGTCTTGCTGAGCTGATGTTGCAGTATCAGGCCTGCTGAACTTTATAAAATAAAAAGTTTTGTGAGGCCCTGATTTTTTTTTAAATATTTCTTAAATAACTCGAGCAGTTTCAGTTTTACATGTGACACCAGGTTTCATCAGGCTGACAGATAGCTGTGTGCTCTGGGCAGTACTCTGCCAATGATTGCAAAGGCAAGGACTGCCTTGGCTCTGTCATCCCTGTCAGAAGCTTGTTTTAGGTAAAGTAACTTGGCAAAGATTGTGCTAAAGGACTGATTTAGCCATGCAGTGGGAAGCCTGCAGGCATGGTGACAGACATGACAGTGTCTGCTCCTTGTGCAGCCCCACTTGTGTCCATCACTAGTTGCTCTGGGATTCCCCACGGCCCCCCTTCCCTTTTGGGCAAAGCCTGGCATGGTTGTCTGCTGGAAGTTTGTGTCTGGACACCCAGTTAGGCAATTCTTACAGCAGCAGGACTTGAGCAAGAGGTGGTTGTTTCATATTTTAGCTTTTGCATTCCTGAGGCAGCTGATGCCACTGACCATGCTGTGATTGAGCAAGCCCATTGCTCTCAACATTTGGCTATTTAATAATTTCCTTTGCTTTAAATGAGCAGTTGAACACTGTGACCTGGGCTAATTTCCCAGAGTTCTGTGCCAGAGGAGACTGGCATGGATCATAACTGCTGTTGTGCTACAGCATTGAGAGTCCCTGAGGCCAGCAGGTACTGCTGAGATGGGCTCACACAGGATCAGCTGGAGCAGGTTGACTGCGGCCATGCACAGTCAGGTCTTGGGTATCTGCAAGGATGAAGACTCTGCAACCTCTCTGGGCAAGCTGTGCCAGTGCTTGAGAGCTCTTAGAGTGCAGAAGGCTCTTTCTTACATTTAAAAATTTGTTGTATTTCAGTTTGTGTCTTTTGTTCTGTTGCCAGGCCTCGACAAGAAGAGCTTGGCTCTTTCCTTTTACTCCCCCCATCAAGTAATTATCACCTTTTCTCCAGATTGACCAGTCCCAGCTCTCTCCATCTCTTCAGGTCTTCCAGTCCCTTAATCACCTTTGTGTTCCTTTGTTGAACTCACTCCATGAAGTCCATGTCTCCCTTGTGCTGGAGAGCCCAGACCTGGGTATGGCTCTCCAGGTGTGTCTCACCAGTGGAGAGTGAGGGGGAAAAGACTCAACCTGGTTGCCTG